CGCGGTTGATGAGAAGCCACTCCTGCAGGAGGTGCCTAGTGTCATAAGGCAGCAGAGGACCCTGACGAATGAACTCCACACGGCCCTCGACCTGGAACTCTGGCTCTCCTGTGGCGTGGCGAAGACGATGGAGCTTAGCAGTAATAGCTGTGGAGGAGAAGAAGAAATTAACATGTGAACAAAATGAGGATTTGAAAAAAAAAATATCTTAGCCAATGTGAATTCGCTAAGAATAAGATATCTTACCAAAGTCATGATGACAAAAAGCATTTAGAACTGTCTTCATTGGAGGAGCCACTTCCACAGAGGGACAGTTTTGGCAAGCAGGTTTTGGTAAGTCTGTGATTTACAAACAAAAAAAAACAAACATTTTTACCAATTGTAGACACAATAAGGAAAAAAATTATTACAGTTATTATTCTGTGCTTGTTACCTTTAATAAAGTGGCTAAATTTTGCAAGGGGAGTAAGGCACATGTCTTCCTCAGCAGGAAAGCGGTCACAGTCCAGAGCCTCAGGCCAGGGGTGTCCCTGGCAGGCGAGCACCGGGGCACAGCTGTCCCTCACTGCCACACACAGACTACGGCAAGGCTGGATGAAACTGAGGAGGAAAAACATTATTTTTTTTGACTGCCATTTCAAAGGCACACAAATTAAAACAAAAAACTTAAAAAACAAACAAAAAACCTACGTGTCAAGACAGACAGGTGCAATGATAGAGCAGAGGAAGGCCTGGGCTTGAGGGTGGCAGCCAGTTTGCAACAGTGGCCTCCAGTCTTCAGAGCGGGGCACCACCTCACCTTCAAGGTTGCTGTGGCCTAAAAAGTTTGGCAGCCTCATCTCTGAATATCCTACATCTTTGCAGACCTTCATCTGGTTGGGAATGGTAACACAGCGAGTGGATTGGCCCATATCGAATGCCAGTAAAGGAGATGCCACAGCTACAAGAGCGAGTGCCAAGAAAGCAGTCATAATAAGAAGTTGACAAAGTCCCAGGAGTACCAAGGAGGAATAGCTGAGCTCTTCACAGAGGCTCTGAGTCTTTACTGCCTCTCTCATGAGTTTCTCTCTTTATATACAGCAAGGTGAGCCAGCAAGTCTGTTATCAACTACCAATCAAAAGACATAGAGACGATGTGTTTGGAGACAACGGCTTGTTTTGTGATCACTGCAGACAGAAAGGAGGCAGAGAGCAGATGGAGGGTGTGTGAGACGGGTGTGTGCGTGGGTGAGGAGGGAGGGGGTTGGAGTGTGAGCAATCACATCCCAGTTTTACTGAGTGAAAACCAGCCACAGATTCACTTTACCTAGTTTGAAGAATTACAATAAAATACAATAAAAAATTGAATTACAATAAAAATCAAAGTTATGTTCAAAAAAAAAAAAAAAATTGCAGTTTTGAACTCGTTTTGACTAAATCCCAGGTTTGAATATTGCAAACGGGTGGAAATTTTAAGCATTTTATCATATTTTACATTCAGCTTGATCAACTCAAGCATCATGCTTAAGTTTTATATTTAATCGTAATTAATTCTCATTTTATACCGTTTGTCACAGCTATGAAAGTAAAACTGTATGCCTTGCCAGGATATCTTCACATCAGGTCTCCCCTGCTAAAAAGGATGAAGCGTTACAAGAACATGATGCTGCCACTATCATGTTTTATCACAGTGGCGGCGTGATCAGGTTCATGCGTTTTCTCCAATTTTTTGCCACACAGTGTTTTGTGTTTAGGTCAAGGAGTTAAATTCTGGTTGCATTTTCCCAGAGCTCCTTTTTCTTTTTTTACTGTAAACTTGATGTTTTACTATTGCATAAATGCCAAAAAGTATTAAGTGCTGTAACCTGCTGACCTGTCATCAGATTATCCCACCTAAACTCCAATTGCCATAGAACAGGGGTCACCAACGCGGTGCCCGCAGGCACCAAGAGAGCCTCAAGGACCAAATGGGGTGCCCTCTTCGTCTTCTGAAAAAAGAAGAACTCACTCAGTGGGTTAAGTTTAATTTTTTTTTTTATTCTGTTGCTCTTCTTTTTAATCATTTATGCATTATTTCATCATATTAACTATTTCATCATATTTCAGTGGTTTCAAAATGACATTAAAAAGAAAATTAGAAAAGAATAAAAGAATAAAATAGAATAAAAATGAGTTTTTATGGATGAGATTTACTGTAGGTGAACACTGATCCCTCCAGTTCATAGGTCAGTATTGGTAGCCCTTCCTATGACTCGGTAGCCATGAAGTAGCCCTCAGCCTTAAAAAGGTTGGTGACCCCTGCCATAGAAGTTATGCCGACTCCAACCCATAGTCAGATAGCAGCTATGCGCAGTCTTTTAATGATTAACTGGACAGTGCTTTATGTGTCGTCAGTCTTGTTTTATTTTCAGAAAGGCTTTAAAACTACCCATAACCATAATTTACCTTTACGGTATACCTTGGAAAAAATTGTGTTCTTAATGTTTTATAATAAAACTCAGAGGAAATTACAGAAAAGCTCTACTGATAATAAAAAGAAAATATTGTTGGACACGATTTACTTAGGTGACTGTAAAATGAGCTGTTGTCAAGAGACAGAATGTGGAAGGAGAATATGCAAAAATTGTCAAAAGACGTACGATTCAGGAGAGACTAACAAGCATAAAGAACCAATGATGGAGTCCAAGAAACCAAACTACAAAGGCCCTCATTAATTTTGAATCTAGTATTGCTATTGATACATACACAGCATATATTTTCAATATTTTACTCTAGTCACATTTGGTTGCTGTTAATATGCCAAGAGATACCTCCAATCCTTTTATTCGCTTTAACTCTTGAATTAAAGCAACTTAATCAAACTCTGTTGCATTTCAATGTATTTGTTTAGAGATCGTCTGTCTCCAGATTGAGATGTGTATCTAAATCTGGGGTTACTCCTCCAGGCTTTTTCTCTCTCTTATGAATCAAAGGTTTCCATTGAACCCAGCCTGTCAGAGCTCAAGTCTGCTCCCATATATGTGACTTTACAAGAGGCCTGTCTGGAAAAGGGACAATGAATATGTAACCGGCCACAGCTGAGCCCCATTTTATGGCATGATCTAAAGACTGGAGGCTGGTTCCAGATTGGGTAGACGAGTTCAGCCCATTAGAGGGGACTAACTGGGCAATTAGAGTCACAGGCCAATTTGGCCGAACAATAGGTCCACACATTTAACAAGCTCCCCCTGCCAGGAGCTCCGCAGGGGTCTGTTGTTGGGCCTAATGGCTGTTGAGTAGACAGTGTGTCTGTGTTGGGAATGGGCTGCTAGCTCAAAACTCTGTCAATGGGCAGGAGTCAGCCGAGTGGTACAAGGTCTAAAGTGGTAACTTTAAGAGTTTAGAAATTGAGCCAAAACATAATAATGCTTTTATGGTTTAATCAATAGAGTAAGAAGCTTTTTATCTTTTTCTTTTGTAAGGTGAAGGGCAGCCTTTGCTCACTACCTGCATTAGAATGTTTTTAAAGAATAATATGTTTGTAACCTACTCTTCGATCACTGCCAAAGGTAAAGTAGAATGCTGCTAGAAGTAGCATATCCTGATAAAATGCCTTTTATCACTCATTCAATTTAAAGTTTATTTCATTGTAAATTAATATATTCTGCCCTTATGTGAGGGATAACGGGTTCTATTGAAGTTATACATTTAATTATCACATTTAGCATTCCTTCCCATCTCTTCACACTGATACAACCAGGAGGCTGTTTTGTTGTCAGGCAGAGTACTGGGTCATAATGTCATGACTAAATGGGACTTGATTTTAGAGTGTATGGATCCTTAAACATTTCTCCTTTTTAGACATAATCTGTAAAGTATTACATGGATTTAAGGGGATAAAATAGAAAGTGTTTTTTTTTTTTTCAATGATGCAACAGTTTGTCTTTTAATAAATGCATGTAAACAGTTCAGAACACTGGTTTGGTGCCTGCAGGTCTTTTGGGGTACATCTCCAACAGCTTTGCAAATTCAGTCTGAAATTTTTGCATGTTATTTTCTGTGATGTTTTTTTTTTTTTTTCTTCAGGTTATTGATTATATTGATGCAAAATATTCCACTCGTCTAACTGCATGTTTTTGAGTCGCTATGTTGGTAGAAGTCAAACTGTTTGCCCTGTGGCTTCGTGGGAAACCTTTTAGATACCATCACCATGTTTTATAGTGGGGAAGGTGTTTGGAGTAAAATGCATATCAATTTACATGTCAGACATTTTATATTCAACCCTTTATTTTTTTATCCTGCCCGTATGGCTTCTCGCTAATTTACATTCTTTTCACCTTTCTATGAAGGCCAGGTCAGCAGAGAAAACTAAACAGCCCTTGCTGCTTTTCCTAATGAGTAAAAATTAAAAAAACCTTTTATATTTGTGTCTTAATAGTACCCAACATCCAAAAGATTTTTGATCTGAAACAAAGTCAGGAAACCATTTGGAGGGCAAAACAAATTTTCACCATGGTTTGAACAAAGGGTCAGCCATAAAGTTTTGCAGAACAGCTAGCAATAACGAGTTAAACCTGACCCTATGGTAAAAAGTCAGTCTTCCTAACAAGTTCTGTAACATTTTAGTGGAAATGACAAAAGTTTTTCATGAGAGGCAATGAGTGAACATCGCCACTAATTATAATCCACTTTTACGGTTTTGATTCAGCAGAACTAGGTGGATTCTGGAAATTATAACATTTAAAGGTCATCCTGCTGCATCTACATTAGGTCAAAGTGCAGACTTCTGACTGCTAGGCCGCTCCAAAAGTTTTTCAGTCATTCAGAGGTTGCCTTTCCCCTCTGCTTTGAAACGCTGTCCTGCTACAGAACCATGACAGGAATCGGTTTAACGTCCTATATTGATGGCTTTCCATCATTCTGCATGATTTTCTGGATGGTGCTATATTCATGCATGTTTGACTCAAAAAAAGGGCATTTTACTGAAACATTTGAGTTTAACAAAAAACAAAAAAGCAAACCTGTAGGCAGATTTTGATCATTGTATATATTTTTTTAACATTCACAACAGAAATCTTAATCAAGCCATCATACATCTTCCAACTATCACATTTCAATGTTATGCTGCTGTTTTCTGGCCATGTGGTTGAGCAAAACAAGCCCTTGCAAAACATCAAAGACTAAGGTGTGTTTAGGAAGGCAGGGAGGAGGACTGGGTGTCAGCACAGCAAACTCAGATAAAAGATGTCTCCCCTTGTACACAGGAGACTCATACATTAAACTCCCATTTGTCTCTTTTTTTCCCCCAGACTTACCCCCCCCTTCTTTCTTCATCCTGCTGGGCTCCAGCAGGGCTGACAGTCGACAGATGACAGACTGTCAATAGCACTCAATTGTCACATCCAGTCTCCAAGCCTTATGGGCAGACGCAGCCAAGCTGACATCAGTAGACTACTTACACCCCCCAACCCCAGCATTGGCTGACAATCCAAAGACTATTGTACTTAAATGAAAGTTTAAATTTGTTCTGTGTGATCTATTATCTATATGCGTCCACCTTAGTTCACTGTAATGCTAAAACAGGATTACTTATTTTTACAGCAAATTTCTTGCAAAATCTTAGAAAAAATACAGCTTGTAAATCAAGATAATCACAATAATTACAAGTAGTAGACACCATAATCTTTATTATTGAGGGGGGTCACAGCCTTTATACGCCCCGTTGTTCAAGCAGTACTGCAGAAGAGCCCTGAAGCATGGATTCTGGTGAGGAAACAACAAAGAGAACTTCCATGTTCAACATAGTTCTGTACACAGCAGCGAGAGTAAATACTAATACTCCAAGATTACAGGCCTACAAAGGCCCCCCCCCCTTTCTTACCCTAATGAGAATATGAGGGTCTCCAACAACGATGAGTAGAGCTTTGGAACGAGTGACCGCCACATTGAAGCGTTTTGGATTGTCCAGAAATCCAAGCGAATTCTGTGCATCAGCAACCTCCGCTAATTTGCCAGAACGCACCTAGATCATAAAATGAATACAAAAGATGCAAGTTAATCTTTATATAGAGGCTTAATTACCTTTAAAATAAATAGTGTATTTATATAGCACCTTTACATAGACGGGATACCAAAAGTCCTTCTCAAAAAGGGAAACCCAACACACAGCAGTGCATTAAAATGTGATTAAATCATAGTTCTTGTTTAAAACTGTCATGGAAAAAAAAACTTCTTTAAACTTTCTTTGAAATTTGAACAATTTGTTGAGGAAAAGACAAAATCTATTAAGACGCAAGGTTTAATTTTGAAGACCTCTATAGAGGAAATGCAAAAGATAACAAAAGAGATCAAAGCACAATCAGCAGGTGACAGAAACCATCCAATAACCAGACTGATTGGAAAATATTTGTATTTTTCTTCGTTTCTTAAAGACACTGCAATAAGCACCCCCCCAGGTCCAATAACAGACAGAGTCACTTTTAGGCTTCACTAAAGGAAAGAAAATATTAATACAAAATGGATTAATTCTGAAATCCTTTTTCAAAACAATCTGTGGCCTTTTGTGATTCCCAAAAAAAGAGCCTAATAATTTATAAACAGATGGACTGAAGAAAGAATAGCCAGTACAGTTGTCACAATATGAAATTTTCAAACTCCAAACAATAACCTATAAAAATATCTAATACTAAATGTCTTTTCCAATACCATTACAACAAAAAATAAATAAAGGCACATCATTTTTGTTTATTAACATGAACACGCCCCCCCTTTATAATCTCAACATGGAATATTAGTTCCCAACAGAATCATAGATGCTAGTTAATTGTGCAAAATGATGACCAATATATTGGATTATCTTTAGGCTTTTTTTAAAACTAGGCACATTTAGAAAGCAAGGAAGACCTAAAACCTGCAAACAGTAAAGTCGCAGCACATGAGTCATGGGATAAACAAATGCACCTCCAGCACACCACACAATTTCACAATATTTATGACATTTTATTCCTTTAATGTACAAGAAAAAATATTCTACATTCCTTAGATATTTAACAACTTGGGAAAATACTTTATACATACACACACAGGTCCTTTTCAAAATATTAGTATGTTGTGATAAAGTTCAAGTTTTAATATTACATTATGGAAAATAAAGAACATTCATATATTTTAGATTAATTGCACACTAACTGAAATATTTCAGGTCCTTTATTGTCTCAATAGGGATGATTTTGCATACAGCTCATTAAAACCCAAAATTCCCATCTCACAAAATTAGCATTTTTCATCCGACCAATAAAAGAAAAGTGTTCTTAATACAAAAAAAGTCAACCTTTTGCAGAAATGACTGCTTCAGTGCGGCATGGCATGGAGGCAATCAGCCTGTGGCACTGTTGAGGTTATGGAGGCCCAGGATGCTTCAATAGCGGCCTTTAGCTCATCCAGAGTGTTTGGTCTTGTGTCTCTCAACTTTCTCTTCACAATATCCCACAGATTCTCTATGGGTTCAGGTCAGGAGAGTTGGCAGGCCAATTGAGCAGCGATACCATGGTCAGTAAACCATTTACCAGCAGTTTTGGCACTGTGAGCAGGTGACAGGTTGTGCTGAAAAATGAAATCTTCACCTCCATAATGCTTTTCAGCAGATGAAAGCATGAAGTGCTCCAAAAATCTGCATTGACCCTGCCCTTGATTAAACACAGTGGACCAAACCCAGCAGCTGACATGGCACCTCAGACCATCACTGACTGTGGGGACTTGAAACTGGAATTCTGGCATTTCCTTCTCCCCGGTCTTCCTCCAGACTCTTGCACCTTGAAATGACATGCAAAACTGAGCAACAGTCCTGTGCTGCTTCTCTGTAGCCCAGGTCAGGCGCCTCTGCCGCCATTTCTGGTTCAAAAGTGGCTTTAACTGAGGAATGCGGCACCTGTAGCCCATTTCCTGCACACGCCTGTGCATGGTGGCTCTGGATGTTTCTAGTCCAGACTCAGTCCCCCAAGGTCTGGAATCGGCCCTTCTCCAGTCTTCCTCAGGGTCCGGTCACCTCTTCTCATTGTGGCAGAAAACAGACTTCCCACTGAGGTGCCTTGATGCAGCACTCTGGGAACAGCGTATTCGTTCAGAAATATCTTTCTGTGTCAAAGCCTCTTGCTTTAGGGTGTCAGTGATGGCTTTCTGGACAGCAGTCAGGTCGGCAGTCTTACCCATGATTGGGGTTTTGAGTGATGAACCAGGCTGGAGTTTTAAAGGCCTCAGGAATTTAGAGTTAATTTGTTCATTCCGATGATAAGGTGCATAGCTCGTTTCGAGACCTTTTTCATGATATGCTAATTTTCATCTTAGTCTTTTTTTTTTTTTAAAGGCAGATGATTTTTGGAGTCAGTCTATTTGATCACAGATATTGCCATTTCTTCTTTCATTTACATGATAAAACTGCCAAAAATGGCTGCTCAGTGGCGCAGGGGTTTGGGTTCAATTCCTGCCTGGGATTTTCTGCATGGAGTTTTCAAGTTCTCCCAGAGCATGCTAGGGTTCTCTCCGGGTACTCCAGCTTCCTCCCACAGTTCAAAAACATGACTGTTAAGTTTATAGGCTTCTCTAAATTCTTCCTTAGGTGTGAGTGTGTGCGTGAATGGTGGTTTGTCCTGTTTGTCTCTGTGTTGCCCTGAAATGGACTGGCGTCCTGTCCAGGGTTTACCTCGCCTCTCACCCATAGACAGCTGGAGACAGGCACCAGCAACCGTCTCGACCCCAGCTGGGATTAAGCGTGACAGAAAATGGATGGATGAACTGCCAATGATTAAAAATGTTACATATGCTTTATAAAAAAAAAAAAAAAAAAAAACATTAACAAATCAAAAACAATGGCAAATGGCAGGAGCAGCAATGCATGCGCTTCACATGACTTCATGCACGGCCGCTGAATGCACAAAATAATCAGTGAACGAATGCATCGACCGATTTCAATATCAAAAATACAAAAAGAAAAACGCTACTTTTAACCCCATTATAGACCGGCCGATGTATCGGCTCACCGATAATACAGACCCCAAAATTATAAGAAACTCTGCATAGTTAAGCAGAGGAAGATATTTTGGATAACCCTGTTCTCCATCTTTGTGGAAACTATTTGGAGACGGTCACCACATCTTAGCATGACTGAATAAGAGTACAAAAGGCTAAATTCACAGAGACATGGATGAAAGTTTAGTATTGATGAGCTTGACCAACCTACACAGAGACGTGAACCCAACCCAACAGAAAAGTATTGGGATGAGATTCAGAGTAACATCTGGTTATGATCCCAAATGTGCTCCCAGAGGAATGGTTAAAGGAATAGTACACCCAAAACATGATTAGCCTTCATTTTCTACTCACCCCCATGCTGAACAACACTCTGGAGTACTTTTTTGATATCTCAAATGCATCTGGAGATCTGAGAGGCTTCTTGCTGTCTGCTGACATTCAAATAACGGAGGTCTATGGCGCCCGAGGCAGAATGGTCCATAAAAGTCCACAAAAAACGTGTCAATAATCCTCCATACTGCTCGTCCAATGTATTCCAAGTGTCCTGAGTGGGTAGCATCCAGAATTTACTCGAAACGAAGTCATTTAGAATGTTTTTAGAGCATAAACAGTAGTGTATAGGATTTCCTGAAAGCGCGTTCACAACACTACGGAAACCGCGGCAGACCAAACCAGATGAAAGTGCACATTCAGCTCGGCAAAGCACTCATGCTCTTCCTCAACACTGAAGTCCTCAGACATTTTTCTTTCGTTGTTTCTTTCTTTGCACAGGTAAACAGCACATTTCTTCTTCTACGCTTGCATTATTGGCAGAGCAGACGCTGAATGCGCACTTTCATCTGGTTTGGTCTGCCGGGTTCCGTAGCATCGTGAACGTGCAGGTGCGCGCTTTCAGGAAATCCTATACACTACTGTTTATGCTCTAAAAACATTCTAAATGACTTCGTTTCGAGTAAATTCTGGATGCTACCCACTCAGGACACTTGGAATACATTGGACGAGCAGTATGGAGGAATACTGACACGTTTTTTGTGGACTTTTATGGACCTTTCTGTCTTGGGCACCATAGACCTCCATTATTTGAATGTCAGCAGACAGCAAGAAGCCTCCCAGATCTCCAGATGCATTTGAGATATCAAAAAAGTACTCCAGAGTGTTGTTCAGCATGGGGGTGAGTAGAAAATGAAGGCTAATCATGTTTTGGGTGTACTATTCCTTTAAGCCTTAATAGTTGGAGTTTACAGATGCTTTTAAAAAAGTAGAACTGTTTCCTTAGCCCTTTCAAAAAGCATACCAAAGCTAATTAACATCTACGTTCTAATAAATAAATGGTAACAAATAGATGCCTGTAAAAAGCATCCACACAATGCATGTTTTGGCCTACCGTTGACAAGATGATGACCAGAAACTCTTGTCCTTGGAACTCCTCCACTGAGCCCACTTTGATGTCAGACAAGCCCCTTTTGCTCAGCAGCAGTCGAATCTTCTCACACTGGACAGAATATAAAAACCAAACCTTAAAGTCTACAAAGTCCATTGACCTGCTGGTTGATTTCCAGTGAGATCCTATAATGTTTGTTAATAGTCAGAAAATAATCCAAATTTCGCATTATGTGGTGCACACACACCTGTTTCCTATAGTGAGCGATGACGCCGATGTCAGAGAGGGGCACAGGGTTGTAGAGCTTTGTTGCCAGTTCAGAGCAGTACATCATCACCTGCACAGCTTCTGTTGGGTTGAACCATGATGGGTTGCTGCACTCCCTCATTTCTTCACCCTGAAGAAAACAAAACTGGGAACTTTCTGTACCTGCATGAAGGGACAGCAAACTAATACTGAAAATAAAATCGACACTTTCAGTAAGACTGGTTAAAAGAACACTTTGATTTTATCTAAACATTACCCTGACGCCATGAAAGAGGAGGGGAAAGCCTTTTTTTGGCAGCCCTTTCCATTGGCACAGGGAATCCACAATATCCCTCTGAGCTTTAAAGCACAGCTCCCCCATGTAAAAGAGCTTGGAGGGCAATGCAAGCAGGGCCTCATGAGAGCGATAGTTGTAGATCAACTTAGTCACCTGTTAAGAGAAAAGCATGCTTATATACAGATCACTTAGATGGTTATTTATGTGGAATAATAAATTCTAACGTTAAGCCACTAGCATCAGTATTATTGATTATTACTATAATTTCATTTATATTTCCCAATAAGAGAACTAACCAGTTTAGGGCTATATCCCCAGTCGTGCTTGGCGTACAGGGGGTTGGCCATCAGCCTCTCCAAAAGAGACACCCCCAGCCCAAAGGCTGCGGCCTGCTTGGACTTCACTATGGGACCCAGTTGGCAGGGGTCTCCAGCCAGCACTATCTAAGCAAAGGACAGCAAACATAATTCAGCAATAAAGTCAAGTTCATCTCCTCTTTTCCTTTAATACAAACAAGCTGGTATGACTTTGAAAACAAATTTAATGGACACAAACCAGAATGAACTCAAATATCCCCCACAATAAAAATAAAAGATAAATTTGTTCAGTTCAGACAGCTAAATATTCATAGTAGAAAAGCACAACTTCAGCCAGGTGTTTACATTCACTCAGAACGTATTAACTGAAGGCTTCTTAGGATGCAGAGGAAGGTTTTCTCAGGAGCTGTTATACAAATACTATAAATATGTTCTACCAGTTCTTATGACATTAATAAACCCTAAAGAGGGCAAATGAAAAGGCTTTGCAGCATTCATTTGGTATCCTTGTTTTCCTTTTTCCTAAGGGGCATTTAGATCTAACTAAAGACTTCCTCAGTCCCTCATGCCTACTGCTCCGCTTTACTCAAACCTTCCCAACAACCTCTATAAGTTGTTACATTCATGCTGATTTTGCGCAGTTTCTATCTTAGTCAAATAACAGGCTGCTGTCATTTTGCACATCTCTGAAGTTGCTGCCATTTTCAAATATCCATTACTGTAGAAATGTCCATAGCTGAATATTGGTAATTTATTCCCCAGGTTGACTGTTTTATATTGTTAAAACACTTGCAGTACAGTATTTTATTGCTTATCTTTTACCTTTTCACTACTATGTTATTCTTATAAAAAATGTTTTCTAAGATCCACATTTTAGATCTAACCTGCCCATCCATCTCTGAAATGAGGCTGATCGGGATCAGAGACTCTGGCTCAGTGGCTTGACCAGCTTCATCCAGAAACATGTGGGTAAAATGTCCCACTCTGGAAGGAAACAAAGTCAAAATAAACGGATTAATACTTTAGTTTTAAACATATATTCGTTACCTTTGAATGCCATTTATAACTTTGTTCTTACTGTAGTCCAACATTATAAAACATGGCAGCACTGCTGCAGGTGCTGACAACAATCCTGTGGAAAGCGGCATGACGGAGGTCTTCTCCTGCCCGAGAGTAAGGCTGCAACACTTCAGGAATGGCCTAAGGAGGAACAGTCAAAACAATCTGCCATATTAATAAATAATACTGTAGATAAAATGACATGCATATGTATATACAAAATCCTTGAACTGAGCTTTGATTGCTTTGAAAATGAGAATCCAAAAGGGAGTGTTCTGTATTCCACTATAAGTTACAGCAAAGCTTCTTTCCCACTGAGAATACCAGGTTACGGCGTGTTTTTCAAACATGGGACGACCTGCAAACAATCGCTGTTTGGCTCCCTTCCCAATGGCAAAAAAAGCTGGTCTAACCTCTCTGCTAGAAAGCTGAGTTGCTTCTTTTTGTCTCTGCGCAGCTGGTGTCACAATCACGCTGGGTTAGCTTTGATTATGTCACCAGTGTGACAGAAATCAAGAAAGTAAACAATGGAACTTGTAAGGAAGCCAGGGCGTAGTGCGTGTGCTTCATTGTCTCACTCTTTTGTCCCTCCTTATCCCTCTGACCAGCGCTGCACCATGTTTATCGAATGTATAGAGTTGTTTCGGCTTGTTAGATCAGAAGCCACTGGTGTGTGTTGACGTCCACAGGGTCATATAATTTTGCGGGTCAACCCGGCTTTGGTGTTCATACAGCATGCCAATCAGAGCCAAGGCGTTTTTAATTCGGGTCGCTTGCCAAGTGGTTTGACCCGGGTAGACACGCATCAGTGAACTTTTTCCAGTGCCACTAAAAGCTGATTGTTTCTGGGGTTTTTTTTTTTTTTTAGCAAGTGGGAAAGAGGTATTAGAGTTTCAGTCTAAATAGGAATCTCTCATTTAGACACGGAAATGTGGCTTGTACCTATTTGGAAATTAGTTGAAGTAGCTTAAAACAAAAAAAACTCATTTTTCAACTCAAGACCTGTCACATATGCTCAACCAGGTTTGTTTTTGTTTTTTTCCCTGGTCCTTTAAAATATGATATAGCAGATAATCGTAATACCTTAGCCCTGGCAGTAGTCATTAGGAAATGTCAGCTTTTTCAAGCCAATTTAAAAAACATGCCTTTCAGTAAGAGATATCAGAGTAAAGGCAGCTTATACAATTAGAACTTAAGCTTTTACACATGCACCTTATTGTGTTCACTGATCAGAGCATGTGAACGGTGCGCCAGGACACTCCACTCAAAATCCGCTCTGCAACTTCATTTTCATGTCGCTCCGGCGAAATCGCTCCATGCTCCCTCAAATTTTCAGGGGAAGAAATTTTCTTTCATGCGATTATTCCAGGGCCCCGGAACACACTGCATTTGATTTAATGTGACCAATACCTGTGTATTGTCTTATTTAACTGGCTTTTAAATTATCTCAATTAAATTAACCGTTTCCTGGCTGTGAACGTAACACCTTGCTCCATTCAAGTTGCCTCGCGTTTCCCATTTACTCATTAATTTATTTGCAAATGAGATAACATAATGCATGTGTGCGATCCATTTTTACATGCTCTTACGACAACGATCAATTTATGTAAACCCACTCTGTATTGTTAAGTATAGTTAGTGTATGTTTTATGATATTTTATCCCCCCTTTTTAATCACAATATGAAATCCTCGTCTCGGCCAATCTGTGCTAAGTTGAAACAGACTATAACAGATTATAGGAACAGACTACAGCATAGGCATTGGCCAAGGCTTTAAGTCAAACATGAATTTAAATAATGTCAAAGCGAACTGGAGTGGAGCAAAATCCTCACTTCGGCCTTTGAATTGAAAAATGCTCCGGCTCCACCATATTTCTTACGCTTCACTCCACGGCTCGCTCACGCTCCACTCACATGCTCTGGCACTGATCCCATTAAATTTCACCATATAGGCTGAGGTTTGTAGTTGGAACCTTACAAAATGAGGTGTGGATGTAAAGCTGAAGCGGTGCTCAGAGTTCACTCCACCCAAATGAATTATGAAAAGTGTTGCAGCTAACCTCTTTCTCCCTACAGGAGGCGTTGACACGGGCCAAGCTGGCAGCATGCAGAAAGCCACTGTAATGAAGGCGTATGCAGATGAGGTCAGCGGCACTGTTGGACGGAGTGCACACCAGCACCCGACTGCTGGGCAGAAAGTGATAGACCTGGTGGTTGAAAGGCTTCATAGGATCATACAGGTCAAATGAAATCATTTAGAGAGAACTCGGCTAACAATAATCTAAGAATATAAGGATGGAAATCTGGAACATATTTGAATTCACCTGCAATATTGCTTCAATAATTGTAATGGTCTTTCCGGTTCCTGGAGGTCCAAACAGCACATAGGGAACAGGGCGACACTCTCCTTCTAGGATCCTCTTGACAGCCTCCCTCTGACGGGGGTTAAGGTCTGGGTTAAAAAACTGCCCTTTGATGGGTAGTGGTTTGGCAGTTTGTTTCCCAACTAGAAGAAAATAATTCCATTAGAAACTTTTTACACCATAAAAAATTAAAACAGGTAGAAAAAAAATTAAAAAAAAAAACAAAAAAAAAAACACACCTGTAGCTTTAGTCTGTGTGGCCTTTGACTTCATGTCAACAGAAGCGCTCGACTCGTTTCCACTTTCAGTCGTTGGACTCTGGTGATAAAGGTCTAGAAAGTTAGTTTTCTGAGTTTTCTCTCCTTGGTGTTGCCAGTTATGACCTACCTCATCCATCCATGGTTCAGTCCACTGGGGGGTCTGAGGCACCACTCTGGTTGGGAAGAGAACTAAACAATAAAAAATAAATACCTGTCAGAATGGGAGGGCTTATTTTAAAGGAGAGATTAAACAAAATTTAAAAACCTTGTAGACCTTTTTGTGAAAAGGTTATTTAAGAGTCAGTACAAAAGCAGAAGGTAAATAAATGCTATGTTGATTCTGAAGGCTATTTTTTTTCGTTCTTTGCTTCTTTGAGAAACTAAGCAAAAAAAAACAAAAAAAAACAACTAGCACCATCTAGTGGGTATAACAGTGTTGTGACACTTTGTGCCGAAGATAACTCAGATTGTTACACTTTGATAATCCAAAAAAGATGGGATGGATAAAGTCAATTGCTAGATGCCAAACTAATTGAGGGATAGACCTTTAAAGCTTCACATGACAAAGCAGAGGTTTCAAGTAATGAAATACAAATACTCTGTTACTGTACTTAAGTACACTTTTTAGGTATCTATACTTTACTCCATTCATTATTTTTCTTCCTACTTCTGACTTCTACTCATTACATTTTCACACTAGTATCTGTACTTTCTATTCCTTACTTTTTTTAAACAAACGTTAGTCTTTGCTTCGATTTTATGTATATAAATATTTATTTCATGTGCGCCATCCAATGCAGATCATTGGCTCCATCCACATCTGAAAACTAGTGTAATTGGATGAGTCATATAAGGCAAACACTCATTGGTTAGCTAAAGGAAATCAGAAGCAAGCAGGTGTTATTCAAACACGAATAGTCTACGCCATGCTAGAATGTCTGATTCAGAAAAAGATGTTAAAATGTCTTAAAAGGTCAGACACAGGCGAGAGCGTATCGGGAGAAGGAGACCAACAAGACCTCCCTCATCCTTGGCTCTATCTACAAGAATTGTTTCAAGATAATGAAAAAAATTTGAGCTTTCAATTCATATAGTGGCATCTGGCTGTTTTTTTTTTTTTTTTTTTTTTAAAGGTTACTTTATACCTAAAGTAGTTTTTGGAGCACATATTTTTTCACTTTTACTTGAGTAAAGAGGTCAAGTTGATACTTCAACTTTTACCAGAGTGTTTTTATACTGAAATTCTACTTAAAGGGGAACACCATTTTCTTTTCTTTTTTTTTTCCATTGGGCCCTTGATTTTACGTTATTACATCATGTTCTACTCACCCATATGAGTTTTGTGTCATGTGGAGCTGTTCCGAAGATATTCGGTTAGGTTATATCTGAGTAACGTCTTCCTTTGGGCAACGACTTGAAGGCACAAACTAAACCGTTCATAATTTATTCTTTATGGTATGCCAGCATTCATAACATGTAGGCGAATCACTGTCCCCCAGACATCCGCAGCTATATTATTTATATTTATATTTTTCCAAAACAAAGCGGAGTGTGATCATTCATCCTGTCCGCTGAACTGCTGCTAGTTTTACTCACATGCCTGGAAGATGTCTAGTGCTACTACCACAGATGATCTCGCTCTCCAAATGGAATTGAACGATTCAGATTAGCTAGCCGAATAAATAGAAGGGGTAGAGCATAGCCGCCTGTGGCCCGGGCTGCCTGTCACAACTCCAGTCCGACTCCCGGATGACGTCATACACACTCCGCTTTGTTTTAAAAAAATATAAATATAAAAAATATAACCGCGGATGTCTGGGGGACAGTGATTCGCCTACATGTTATGAATGCTGGGGTACCATAAAGAATAAATTATGAACAGTTTAGTTTGTGCCTTCAACTCGTTGCCCATAGGAAGACTAAGAAGATGTGTGTACTTTTGACACCACTGCTGGTAAGGGATCGCCTACCGAAACCTATACTGTAAATCGTTATAGCAAATAGTAAATAGGATGACAGAAAAACAAAAAACAAAACTTCAGTTTCCTTCAAAAAAGGGTTTTCAAACACAAACAGGGCATCAGGCTTCACCATGATGGAAGATGGAAACAAGAATTATGCAACCACTAGAGGGTGCTCATTAAGCTAATAGTCATTTGGAAAGTGGTTTTCAGGACATTTACATTTTAGGCTATATGTTGTCATTTATAATAAAACAACACTTGCCATTATGTTTCTTGTGTCAAACAACAGCCACCATTGATTAATATTACTGCTGAAAATTGTTATCTGAAAATTATATCTATAAACAATTAGAGACCCAGTAAATGGGTTTGAAAAACCAAAAAATGTATATAGTTAATAATCTGCAACCAAAAATCAAATTCTACAAAGAAAAACAAAAACTCACTCTCATGAAAATGTTTTGTCAGTTCAAGAGCCTGATGACATCGCCTCATGGTTAGCCTAAAAACAGAAATGAACTTGAATATGGTGAGGATGAACAAAAACCAAACCAAAAAACAGATTAAATCATCACACTTCAGTGATGTTTCTTCTCCTTACCGATTTAAGCTGAACTCCACATCAAGCGGCTCACCGAGGTAGCTGCTGTGAAACCCTGAATTCACTCTCAGACCAACATCCTCCCCATTAATCTGAGTAAGAGCGTAAAACCATGAGACTAAAACAGAAAATGTCTTAAGAGATTTTCCGGAGCATCAAACTGGCTCACCTCAACGACGTAACCGATATACTCCATCTCCAAACCATCACTCTGCAGTTTCTTCAGAGAAACTTTGTCCCCTGTGGAGCAATACAGTCAAGCAAACTCTGCTATTCAATTAACAGCCATGCAGGAATGCAACATCACCTATGTTTAGATTAGGTCTCCCTTCAGCCAACCCAACCACCTCAAGGTGCAGGTAGCTGGCTCCTTTGCGTAGAAGAGCTCCTCTGATAGTAAACTCTTGTAGTTCTCTTTCTGCGTTCAGCTCTTCAAGCCAAAGAAGGGTTGAGAACCGTGAATGCATGTTGGACGGTGAGAGAACCTGGATATCAGAGGATAGGAGTTTGTTATTTGATCTGAAATACACACTGTTCAAAAATAAAGGGAACTCTTAACATCATTGATGTTAATGAATGCGATATTCTCTTTGAATACTTTTTTCTGTTCCAAAATGAATGTGCTGACAACAAAATCAGCAAAAAAAAAAAAGTCAATGGAAATGAGACAAATAAAGTTCAGGATTTTGAGTCGCACACCAAAGTGAAGTGAAAAAGCAGACTACAGGCTGATCAGACTTTGATGTACTGTCAATTAAAAGAGGTCAAAATGAGGCTGAGTATTGTGTGTGGCTTCCACTGGACTAAAGCATCTGCCAAATCCTGGAAAGTCTGTGGTGCAACACGACATTGGTGGATAGAGCGAGACATGTGTGCCAGATGTGCTCAATCAGATTCAGGTCTGGGGAACCGGCGGGCCAGTCCATAGCTCCAATTCCTTCATCTTGCAGGAACTGCTGTCACACTCCAGCCACATGAGGTCTAACATTGTCCAGCATTAGGAGGAACTCGGGGCCAAAAGCACCAGCATGTGTTTTACAAGGGGTCTGAGGATCTCATCTCAGCACTTAATGGCAGTCAGGCTACCTCTGGCGAGCACATGGAGGGCTGTGCAGCACCCCAGAGAAATTATAACCCACATCTGTAGAGACCCGCTGCCAAACCGGAGGCAGCAGATGGCTCTCCACGGTGTCTCCAGACTGTAACGTTCGTCTGTGCTGAAGGTGAACCTGCTTTCATCTATAGAGAGCACAAAACACCAGAGGCAAATTTGTCAGTCCTGGTGTTCTCTGGCTAATGCCAAGCCTGCAAAGTGTTGGTGTGTGAGCACACTGGCCTGTCTCCTGGTAGAGCCTCCAGCCCCTACGCTGACAAACACAGCAAACCTTCTTGCTACAGCTCATATTGATGTGCCATCCCGAATGAGCTGCACTACCTGAGCCACTTGTGGCAGAATAAGGCAGATTGTACAACCTACACAAGTGTGAAAGCACCACCAACAATCAAGCGACCAAAACATTAAACAGAAAGCATAGGTGCAGAAAAGTGGTCAGTGGTGCCCACCTGCAGAACCACTCCTGTATTGTGTCTTGCTAATTTCCACCTGTAGTCTATTCCATTTGCACAGCAGCAAGTGTTGCTTCATAACTGGGCAGTTTGATTACACAGAAGTTTGATTTAAATTAAGTTATATTGTGTTTATGCATTTTTTTTTTTTTTTTTTAGCAGTGCGTTTCTTAGCTGATTAAAAACAAACCATCTAAAAAACTTGAGAGACGTCCCTTCTCTAATTGAGGAAAACTTAATTCAGTTTGCAGAATCCAGGACACCAGAAGCCAAATTCAAATTTGGTCTTTTTAAGTGATAACTGAGACACTGCCATTAGTGTTTCTGAATCAGATTTTTGGCAGTAGCCATACCAAATCTTTTTAAGGGCTGTAATGTCCAAATTTACTAATGACCCTTCTCACCTCTCCCAAACAAGGCTGAACAGCCAGCACATCCTTATTCAACTCCACACAGTCCCTCAGATCATTTGGCACCGGAAATCCTGGCAGGAAGTTTGTCAACCGTCGCTTGCTGAGCCTGAGCAAAATTAGAGCCAAACAACGATGGTTAATCTTGAGCTAAACAACCGCATCCCTCCAGAAAATAGAAAACACCACCAGTCATTGAGTTCAGCCAACTTAAAGACCATATAGCTAAAATTAAAATTCATTTTTATTCTATTTAAAGTGTTTCTTACGGTTTAAAAATAAACCCAAACAAAAACATTAAATTATGTGAATCATTATGAAAAACACCAAACAGCCAATATGCAGAGAAAAAAAAAAAAAAGGTTAACAGAAGAATCACGTGATGGTTCGACATGAGAATGACATAATGAGTGAGAAGTCCGTGCAAACCTAACCATGAACAATTCTAAATACATTGATGAATGAATGAATAAACAAATACATAATATTAAATTCCATGTTTATTTATGATAAATAATATAACTTTCCCCAACACTGAGTATCACTTATTCATTAGAGGTGTTCGAATGATCTGATACCTTCGTGCAACTTTTGGAGCAGATACGGTGACCACATGTGAGGCTGCTTTAGTGAGCAGCGCGGGATTTTGAGGACAATAGACCTGAAAGGGCTTCAGCAAGTCTTCATCCTCACTGCCCACTTTAACCAGCAGATACCTCCCAATGGTGAAAGAAGAGAAATGCAGCAACAGCAGCTCAGTACAGCCTCCAATGCTCCTGAGGAAAGAGTCAAATATGTAGAAGTGTTTAAAAGTTGAAGGAAAAAAAAGAAAAGAAAAAAAGTGTATGTGTGGGTCAGGTATTTAAAAACAATATCCAAAGCTTCGTTCAGTTCATGGTCCCTCAATAACTCTGAGATTGCAGTTAGAGTTGGATGATCTTTGAACAGGATAACTACTACCCATGAACGCTGAAGAGGAGCGAAAAGGTTAAAAGTATAGCTTCAATAGTGCAACAAGCTGTTGATGTTTGTAACAAGACTTGTAGATATAGCAAACAAAAGAAGGAGCTTTAGGTCAAGCATATAGTAGGGCACATAGTAGGGCTGTTTGATACAACTGAAACATATTGCACATCAACTGATATCAGCCATTTTGGATTAGTGTTAACTAGGGCTGAAACTATTTAATCGGATTAATCGATAATGGAAATAACGGTCAACTAATTTAGCAATCGATTAATTGTTAAACGGAGTATAGAGACTATATAACATGCCTTTAACTGACAGAGCAACCAACTTAGAGCAGTAATTAAATCTAAATTGTTAATATATATATAAAAAGATTGCATTTAAGATGAGAAAACTTATTTTGTCTGTAAATACACTCCAAGAACTCCCAAGTGGAAACGTTTTTTTTTCACTTGGCTTAATTGCATAAAAAGTCTCCTTTAAGGAACTTTTGGCTATCCAGTAAATAGAAAAAATAGTCGACAGATTAATCTATTTACAAAATGATTGTTAGTTGCAGCCCTAGTGTTAGCCTATTTCAGAAAAGGGGGAGAGCCTAATTTCAAAAATTTAAATGTAACCTTCAAAAAAAGGGGACAGCACTTTGTTTTCCCCAACCAACTTTGCTTAGTTTTACAATGAGAGCTTTATTTTCTTCTGCCTACAACCCCCAGAATGAAAATGTTATCAGTCATATTTTCTATTGATACCTTTTGGGAGTCTATCATGGTATATAGATGCTCCTTTATTGACCAGCCCTAAAATTATAGGAACAAGGGTAGGGGTTTAGGAAGACCTAAATCCAATTTAAATATTTGTGCCGAGGCTTAATTCATTCAGTCTTACTGAGCAGGAAACTCACTGGGTTATTTGGTTAAAAAGGTGTGTTGTGTGAATGTGTTCTTTGTAAGGGGCTAAAAATAAAAAATAGGAGTAGATTTATAATACCTGTGTAGAGTGATCTTTATAAATGGAATGATGAAACAAAGTTTCACTTATACAGCTGCAAACAGGCCTTTTAAAGACTTGATGCAGGAGTGGAAGATATTAAAATGACTTTGATGCTCTAAATGTTCCATGTTCGGCAGAGACAAAGAGATGGAGCTGAAATAAAAGCTTGTTCTGAAGAGTACTGACTAAGTGAAGCTGATTACTAATGTATGCGACACTTTTCTGATCCTTATTTGCATAAAAAGAATGAATCATCCTTCTTCCCATGTATCAGTTATGCACCATGTAGTGACAGACGATTCCTTTTGATTTCCATTAAATATATTGAAGAGTTATGTTGGAACGTGTCAAACTTTCAAACAATACAAATTAAAATATGTGTGCATAACTCCACATTTTTAAGGAGATCTTACTTTGCTTTGCAGGCGATAACAACGGACACTCTTCCTCCAGGCGATATTTCCACCCCTCTCCCCTCCTCTTCAGCCTCAGGGGATTGAACTGTGGCCGTCTCCATTGCACCATTTTTTCCCTCTTCCTCCTTTGCATCTCCTGCTTTGTTTTCTGACAACTTTGAGCCACTTTGGGAAACAGCTTGCTGCTTCCTTTTGGATGATGTGGACGTGCCGACAGTAACTATGGTGAACTGCTCCGTGGAGTCCCAACCAGCAAAGTTACAGCGCTCCAATGTCTGAGGCTCAGACCCTTTATTTCTGTTATGGAAAAAGAGACAGAGGGGAGCAAAATAACAGAACTTTCTCAGAGTGTTGACATTTACACAGAAATGACTAAAGGCCAACTCACTGTATCCACAGGACCAGCTCGCATCTCTCCCCAAGCATCAGGTTCCCAAAATGCCCATAATCTGAAACTTCGAGCCCTCCTTTGTTTTCCAAGAGGTGGTTGAGTTCAGCCTCCAGGAGAGGTGTAGCATTTACATTCAGCCCAGTGCTAGAATCATGGAAAAACACAGATCAGTGGGGAGCGTTGACCTAGTGTGGAGATCTTCAACAGCGCGTCCATGGAGGTACTGCATCAGGATCGCAGTAGTTTTGGTTGATTTTTTTTTCTACATTCCCCCCCTGCATTTTTCCCACTAATTGAAATGTCTTTAAATCCACATTAACATGAATTCAACACACTGTAGTAAACAGATAAATGGAGGCAGAAGATGTCCTTCAGACATCAATGCACAAATTCAGCCACACGCGGGAGCTATTTCAAGTTGGGCACCGTTTCATTTACAACACCTGTCCCATCAACCAGGAATCTGAGTAAGAAATACTTTAATAATCCCAGGGAGAAATGACTTTCGTTACATTTCTCCATCTGTAATAGTCTGACTATAGGACCAGTTTGATAACACAATTTCATACAATATATATAATTAGGGGGTCCCCACTCCATCTAACCATCAGTTTGGAGGACCTTGACCTGGAAAATTTTGAAGACCCCTGACCTAGTGGTTAGAGCAGTGTGCTTGTGCTCTGAGAAGGTTGCAAATACCTGGTTCGATCCCCATAGCCTGCAGTCTGGGTCTCTGAGCGAGACCCTTAACCCACTGATCTCTAATCACTGGATTGCTGATTGCCCAAAAGAAGTGAAGCCACCATCTGCCATGCTGGTACGCCCCACTCCCATGGAGACATGCAGTAAAAATGCCTACATATGTAGCATTTCGCTGCAAAAAAAGCAGTTTTCTGGCTGTGGGAACTTGTTCCACAGGCAATTTCCCTTTGGGCCGACTTGAAGATATTGACCGAGTTAGCGATTGACATTGTGTCTAACGTTACAAAATAGAAAGAGAAAATAGTAAATGGAATAGAAAGTAATTCACTATGAAATTTAAATTTAGTAATTCTTTATTAAGGGGAGGATGCCGCACTTCCTGTGGTGTTTGTTGTGCATATGTGTATATATTCTAGTTACATCAAGATCAGGATCGGACAGCAACATACACTATATTGCCAAAAGTATTTGCTCACCCATCCAAATTATTGGAATCAGGTGTTCCAATCACTTCCATGGCCACAGGTGTATAAATTCAAGCACCTAGGCATGCAGACTGTTTTTACAAACATTTGTGAAAGAATGGGTCGCTCTCAGGAGCTCAGTGAATTCCAGCGTGGAACTGTGATAGGATGCCACCTGTGCAACAAATCCAGTCGTGAAATTTCCTCGCTCCTAAATATTCCACAGTCAACTGTCAGCTGTATTATAAGAAAATGGAAGTGTTTGGGAACGACAGCAACTCAGCCACGAAGTGGTAGGCCACGTAAACTGACGGAGCGGGGTCAGCGGATGCTGACGCGCATAGTGCGAAGAGGTCGCCAACTTTCTGCAGAGTCAATCACTACAGACCTCCAAACTTCATGTGGCCTTCAGATTAGCTCAAGAACAGTGCGCAGAGAGCTTCATGGAATGGGTTTCCATGGTCGAGCAGCTGCATCCAAGCCATTCATCACCAAGTGCAATGCAAAGCGTCGGATGCGGTGGTGTAAAGCACGCCGCCACTGGACTCTAGAGCAGTGGAGACGCGTTCTCTGGAGTGACGAATCGCGCTTCTCCATCTGGCAATCTGATGGACGGGTCTGGGTTTGGCGGTTGCCAGGAGAACGGTACTTGTCTGACTGCATTGTGCCAAGTGTAAAGTTTGGTGGAGGGGGGATTATGGTGTGGGGTTGTTTTTTAGGAGCTGGGCTTGGCCCCTTAGTTCCAGTGAAAGGAACTCTGAATGCTTCAGCATACCAAGACATTTTGGACAATTCCATGCTCCCAACTTTGTGGGAACAGTTTGGAGCTGGCCCCTTCCTCTTCCAACATGACTGTGCACCAGTGCACAAAGCAAGGTCCATAAAGACATGGATGACAGAGTCTGGTGTGGATGAACTTGACTGGCCTGCACAGAGTCCTGACCTCAACCCGATAGAACACCTTTGGGATGAATTAGAGCGGAGACTGAGAGCCAGGCCTTCTCGTCCAACATCAGTGTGCGACCTCACAAATGCGCTTCTGGAAGAATGGTCAAAAATTCCCATAAACACACTCCTAAACCTTGTGGACAGCCTTCCCAGAAGAGTTGAAGCTGTTCTAGCTGCAAAGGGTGGACCGACGTCATATTGAACCCTATGGATTAGGAACGGGATGTCACTTAAGCTCATATGTGAGTCAAGGCAGGTGAGCAAATACTTTTGGCAATATAGTGTACATCCCTAATTACACGTTGCAAGATATGTGCATATGTGTATATACAGTTTTCTAAAATGATCCTTCAACCAACAGTGAGCAAACACCATGTGGCTATATTTTTGTTTCTTTTTTTTTTATTTGAATGTGAATTTACACTACATGTGTAAGTTATTTTAATAAAGTTATTCAATCACTGGATAGTGTATGTGTGAGTTTGTGTCCATGTGTGCATACATACACAGTTTTGTTTTCAATAATCAGACTCTTGTGGTGATTAAGACCAAAATGAAAATATGAAGTTGATGTTATTTTACCAATTCATGTGATTTTGCTTGTGTAGAAACTGAAGCTCTGTGGAGTTATTAAATTGGTTAATTAATTTAGCTCTATTGTAATCTGTCAGATTTGAAGGCTGATGGACAGTATAAAAGTATACGGCAACATGCATGCATAATTTGCAAATAGAAAAATACTATAGCTTTAACGGACAAGTACTTGTAAATCAGTCATGTAAAATCTTGAAATTATATGTAAGATGTAATTACCATAAAAATGAAATAAATACATGTATATTAAACGCACATCATCAATGAAGCATCCTTTTGTACATCTATATTATTATGCTCCATTAACACATTTTTTAGTGATGGATTTGTATAATATGTTGTATTACATGATTAAGAGACTTAATTTACTTCATAAGACTATGCAAAGCGATGTGCCTATTTTTTTTATATAACTTAACGTTATCTACTTATGCTATGAAACAGCAAGTGTGAGTCAAAGTGATGAATTTATCTTTATTTTAAAAGTCTTAAGCCGCCCTGAAAATGAAAACATCGTTGTTCGATGCTGTAGGACACATATTGTTCAAATTGCGACTGATCTAATTAGGGAGTACCAATATGGCGGCCAATGGCTTCATTTCAACCCTGTCCTACCCACGGGCAATGAGCAATCCAGTAAATAAATAGAGATCAGTGCCAATGTGAGATCAATAAAGTTACATTATTATTATTATTATAGATCGGCAAAGAAAAAGAAAACTTTTTAAAAGTGAACTTAGTTATTCATCAAACCTTTATCTTTAGTTTGGCACAAACATACACAGCCTGATTAGACTTTCATTACCTCTGAGTGCAGGGTGCCATGCAAAGGGCCCTCCAGCTGTAGAAGGACTGAGAGCTTTCCACCATCACCAAGTTGACCAGGTCCCCTGCTGTCGGCTTGTAGCTGGTGGGCAGCAGCAATGAGTCCAAGCTGAAGTAAACCATGTCCTCCACCACTCCGTTGTTTTTATAAACACTGGTGACACGCACCTAAAAACGAAAGGAAGGAAGCCTCCAAACTGAACCAAAGGAGCTGATCTGTAATTAATCAAGGTTTCACACCACAGCAACCTAGGTATCATCAAAACCTTTACTATAAAGAATGAATATCACCTGGTCCAGGCGGCTATAGCGTAACGGAGCCACAGATTGAGCTTGGGTTGTCGACTGCGTGGGGTTGATATAAAACTTTGCTTGGACCCAGTCTCCTTTCATCGGCTGATAACCTGCAAGACAAAAAAGAAACGCAAAAGGCAAAACCCTGTATATAAAAACAAAACAAAAAAATTTAACATGCTTTTACCAGGTATGGGAATGTCAATCAAGTTTAAGCTTGATGACAAAATCTCTTGTGTAAAGGTCTCTGAGAAGAACATAAATGTTGTCTAGGACTTTATCGCCACTTAGGGACAGACTTGAACTGAAATTCTAAGTACTACCTCATGTCTGAACTAAGACCATAAAAGATTTAATTTGGATTATGTTTGACGGACCAAAATATGCATTAAATAATCCAATCACTGAATATGGACAGGTTAAAATTTATTTAAATTCATCCTTATGCTATTCAAGCATACAATGCATAGAACACAATCCAATCAAATTCATACATAAAAAAATAAAAAAAATCAATAATACCTGATCGCAAATATAGATGGTTGATGTGCAGCTGTTGAGTTTGCAGCAAGGTTTTTATATTTTGATACTTGCCTGGGGCACACAGTGCTGTTTATTGGCTTTTTCTGTGTTTAAGTGGAAAAGAAGAACTCCTTTTGAAAAAGAAACCTCCATCAAAACATGGCTTAATGTGACTCCATCCAAGTTACCAAAAAGATCAAATCTATGAGAAAACTTGAAAAGTGATGTTCACAAGTACTCTCTAGCCAACATGGGAGAGCTTTAGCTGTGTTTTCATTTTCTTTTTTGAGGAAATGTTAGCAAACATTTCTGAATTTTCCCAATTTTTTTCCAAATGGGGAAAGTTGCAATGCGCATTTTGAAATTTCATTTTTTTCTTTTTACGTTAGGAATCCTACCACTTCCAACTTCTCTGCTACCGTTTTGATCAGGAATTTACTTTGGTGACTTAAAAAAACTTACACAATGTAAGCTATCGGTCTCCGCCAGTCACGTGACATTTGTTGCTAAGACGCCATTTTAGGTGGAAAAGGCGTAGTGTAAACAACCGCAGCATAGCTAAACGAAGGACTAAAGGCCCGTTTACATAGCAGCCTGTCCAAGATAAGTCCATACAGTTAACATGAGCCTGAAAACAGGGGCGGATTTAGGAAAATCAGTCTCCGCCAGTCACGGTGGAAAAGGCGTAGTGTACCGCGCCCGAGGTAAACAATTGACGTCACTTGGCGGAGACCGATAGACCCAAATTTTAAAAGTTCAGAGCTCGATTAAGTAAGTTTTTATATTGCTACCTTCTGAAAGGGTGCAAAATGTGAAGTATGTGGACTCATTTATGTAGCCACTATCGCCATCAAATGAGGTGACAGTTCCTATGAGCGGGTGAAGCTGCATGCTGTCCTCTTCTACAGAGGTTCTTCCTCCATTGTCCCAGGCATCTACAATCTTCTCCACCTGAAGTGCAAAAAAAGGCAAAAACTCAACAACAACAATTAGAAATTGAATATAAACTGAACTTGGTTGAAAATATGATTGAGGGGAGGCTTCTCACCCTTAAAGCCTTCCATCCCCCCTCAGCACCACCTCTCACTGCGATGCAGTTCACCTGGTCTCCCTCTTTAAGCTGCAGCCCGCCCAGCACCTCACTACTAGTGAAGTAGATTGCCTCATCTATCATGCCGTAGTCCAAACAGAGCCGTGTGACCACACTGCCCCGCAGGTGACGAATATCCTCTGAGACTGCTCAAAGAAAATTTTTTTTTAAAATGTGTATTTTATATATATATATAAAAAATCTAATTTGTGTGTGTGTGTATATATATATATATATATATAATGTAATTTGTGTGTGTGTGTGTGTATATATATATATATATATAATGTAATTTGTGTGTGTGTGTGTATATATATATATATAATGTAATTTGTGTGTGTGTGTGTGTGTATATATATATATATATATATATAATGTAATTTGTGTGTGTGTATATATATATATATATAATGTAATTTGTGTGTGTGTGTGTGTATATATAAATATATATATAATGTAATTTGTGTGTGTGTGTGTATGTATATATATATATAATGTAATTTGTGTGTGTGTGTGTGTATATATATATATCTATATATATAATGTAATTTGTGTGTGTGTGTGTATATATATATATATATAATGTAATTTGTGTGTGTGTGTATATATATATGTACATACCCACAAATAACATTTTTCCACACACAAGCAAAAAAGTCCCTACATGCTACTATGGTTATGAGCTACAGACTTGTAAAGTACATGCTTTTACCTGGGCTTTTTGTAAAGATGTCTTCATCTTCATCAGCTGTTCTCCATAATGGAGAAACCAGCTTGGCCAGCACGCGGCTCACAGCGGTCAGCATAGCGGGTGAAGCAGAAGCTAAGCTGCTAGCTAACTATGCTAGGGAAACAATTTGAAAAAATAAAAACAATTCGGTAAAGTTAAAATTTATTTAATTTTAGTTTATATTGCATTTTGGTTTAGATATACACAAACAAAGAAAAAATCTCACTGAAACCGTTTTAGTATACTTCAAAAACGTGTTTTGCTAAATTATATATGCACAAATCACCCTTCAACGGTAAACACTTTAAAAATACACGGATTCTGAGGAAGTAAAGATTATATTAATGGCTTACCAAGTTTCACACCAATGATTTAATGTTAAACAATGCTTTAATTTCTGCGGTCGAGATTTTTTGTAGCCTTCGGCGCCAGGTGTTTGTAGGAGGAGCAGATTAGTGGGTCCGTCAGACACCTGCGGTAAAGGTCTCATGTCACCACAGGGGGCGCTATCACCCCTGTTTTATTTTATTTTTTTATTCGAACCTTACAAAGAACAAAACAATCAAAGAGAATTGTACATGCATTTCTACGGAAGACGATTAGGGCCACTGAAAAAAATAAAAATGTAACTTATTTTTAAATTTAGTTTCAGTATAATGTGAGAAAAAAAAATCAGAATTCTTATTTTAATCTCAGAATTCTAATTTCAATCTCAGAATTATGAAACTTAATGTAGATGGGCACCATAAAGGAAGAGATGTGAGAGCACTCAGCTTCACTGACAAAGATGTGAGTTGTTAGGGAGGGCCAGTAACACATTGGTGGAAAATGACGGAATAAGCCGACTTTTTACGTGCTCAGAATTCAGTGAAAAAAGCATATGTTTTTAAATAGCAATGTTTGTGTCCTTTCAGCTGCTCTTGTATTCAAGTTAAATCTACATAAGTACCTGCCTTACTGTCAGGCACTTAACCTAACCATGTGGCCTGTTTTTAAATACAATAAAAAGATTATCAAACTAAAAACACTTAGAAGTTGTTCTCCATTTTTTCTTACAGTAAAACTTATGAAACCCATACTTACAGCAACTCCAAAGACCTTTTGACCTCCACATGTCACAGAAGGCTCCTCAGATATAGGTAATATCAAAACGACAAAAGAATAAAACGAACTCAAGTGAAACTATGTGTCTGTGTCTTGTGTATTTTAGGTCAAAATGGTTATTCTTTAGTTATTGGCAGAGGGTAGATCAAGCAAAGCTGTGACTCCATAAACAGTAGCAATACTTTGTAGTTATATAGCACAATGCAGTAAAAGTAGGATGCTGTAAATATTCTCATGAAAGTACATTTTTGTCCAGGAAATAATGCAAGTAAATGTAACTGTTTGCAACCCATGTTTCTATATGTGTACATGAGACACATAATATGAAATGTGCATTTATAATAACCTTTTAAAAAATATTTAATACTCTCTAGAATGAATGTTTTTAATATTTCAATTTATACCACAAGAGGGCAGTAGTGGCTCACAGACAGACAGCCTCAGCTTGGACAACACATTGCAAAGAGAAAGGTTAAGTAACTGACTAGATATTCATCTCTGTGTGTGGTCATAAGGGGAAACTCCACTGGCTCTGTTTATTTAAAACAGATATTGTGCAAGGACCAGGGATAAGATCTAGTAGACTGTTTTCTCAGAGGATTTTGAATTTAAGGTCAGTTTTTCTGTGGATTTGCACTCTATAACACTTTTCCAACATCATGTTGCTCTATGAGAAAAATGTAAGCAATTAACTTTTTTCGGTTTCGTTGTTTCATTAAAGCATTGGCATTGTGGCAATCAAGTATTTTAGATTTATTTATTTATTTGACAGGGACAGTGTACATTAATAGGCAATCCTGCAAATGCACCAGAATTTGCAAAAAGGCTATTTTTCATCTGCTGTCCCTGGACAGATCTTAAAATAGTCTTCCTAAAAAAACATAAACGGTAAGAATTTTACAATGAAAAATATAAATATAAAAATAAATAAAAACAGCTACGTACTCTTCAAAAATTATTTAAAAATACAGAATAATATATATATGTACCGGTTATGTGTATATATATATATATATATATATATATATATATATATATATATATATATATATATATATATATATATATATATATATATATATATATATATAGACATACATATTCAAGTATTCTGATTGGCAAAATCCAATTGTGAGTGTGACTTATTCTTTGGACTTTTTTTGTTTTGTTGCATAGTTTGTCCAGCTTGTGTTGCTAACAACGTGGCCGTTGTTCTTTACTCTATCTCTACTCCTCTTTAATACTGGAAGGACATCAGGTCTTTAAGTGGTGTTTGAGGGCTGGTGCCAAATTTTGTGTTTTCTCTGTAATTAAACAAAATTTTGTGCAATTTTATTTTAAAGGGACAACTACAAAAGTCCCTTAAGTTGAACATGGAGGGAAGCTCCTCAGTACAAAACCTGGTCTAGGTCCTCTGATGATATGGGTCTTTTTCTTTTTACCAAATCCATGGAAACCTTATTAAGGCAAACTAAACCTCCTACATGTAGTTGGCAGTGCTGTGTGTACAAAAACCTTATGTGACATAAATGTTACCATCTTTACCTGAACACCAGAGATGGGAAGTAACAAAGTACAAATACTTCCTTACTGTACTCAAGTAGATTTTTCTGATATTTTTACTTTACTTTACTACTTATTTTTATAGCGACTTTTTACTTCTACTCCTTACATTTTTATACACATATCTGTACTTTCTATTCCTTACATTTTTAAAAATTGGCTCGTTACTTTAGTTTTGAATCATTTCAATGGAGTTACCGTTATTATTTTTCACGTCATCCATACCAAATTCAATCTAATTGGATGGGAATCTACGTTGCATTTGTCGCACCATTACAAGATGAATCGACAGATTCAGCGGTTTTCATTGGCGGCAAATCATTGCAGCTTGGTGGCGGTGGCGTTAGCATAGTAGCATGGACGACGAGATGATTGAAAATGAACACAACGGAGATCTAGTCCTATTGGCAGACATCCATTTAAAATGTAGGCAACGGCATGAAAAAAGTGGTTTCTACTTTTACTTTTATACTTTAAGTAAATTTACAAGCCTGAACTTTGTTACTTTTACTTGAGTGAAGAATTCAAGTAATTGAGTGAAAGAGTATTTTTAACACAAGTATCTGTACTTTTACTCAAGTACAGAAAGTGAGTACTTTTGCCATCTCTGCTGAACACCAAGGATTGCAAAGAATCTGTGGATATTCAAGTTTGTGACTGTTGACTAACCTTGCGCTGCAAGCTGGATTGTCATGAGATCAGTTTTCAGTCTCACACACATCTAACTAGAACTCAGTTCTACACATCAATCTGTCTACTGCCAGGTTAACTGTTGACAGAATGTCATAAGAAACAACCATCATTAATCAATTGGGGGCGCCAAATACACAATATAGTGTTTAATAGCTAAAGCTCCAATAAGGTTTGTTTGTCAGATTAACAGTAATTTTTTTGAAAATAACAATATTTACCCAGGGATCAAACATCCATCCATCCATCTTCTAAGCTTAGTCTGCCAAGGTTGTGATGGGGCTGGTGCCTATCTCTGGCAGTCTTTGGACAACAGGCAAGGTGCACCCTGGACAGGTCGCTAGTCTGTTGCAGGAGGAGTCAGACACACTTTTATAAAGCTCACATATGTTAAACTATATATTAAACATGGGGCACTGACCGTGTTAAACATAAATACAAAAATTTCAATAATATTCCAGGTTTTTAGTATGATTAGAGATCACAGACCGCCTCCACCTCCTGAGGTCCTTTGGAGTGAGCAGGCCCCTGCTTAAGACTCTGTGGTGGCATCAGCCGTCCTCTACGCTGTCGTCTGCATATATATATATGTATATATATATACTGTATATATATATATATATATATATGAATATAAATATCCATCTATATGAATACCCATGTAAACATCCTGTGCAATAATGTATAATAAGCCTACTATATATAAAAAAAAGCTCTCATAGACACACTGTATATACTGCATATTTCCCATGCACCTTTTTCTTCCTTTGGCACCTTCTTCTTCTTCTTTGACTATTTGAGCGGATGTAACGAGTCAATTTCTCCACTGTGAGATCAATAAAGTTAATTTATCAGTCAATCAATCAAGACTGAAGGGGAAAAAGAAACAGGTTTAGTTAATAGTGAATGTTGCTCTGCCATCGATTCAATGTAGCTATTCTGAAAAAGCATTATTGTCAAGAAGTGTAAGTGTGAGATATGCTGCTGTAGAAGGAGATTAATTTATTTGAGAGCCTTTCTCATTGTAAGGGGGGCCAGGTGTTCTGTTAGATGAGCATACCTTGTCAGACCAGTATACCGATAGTCAATATGCATGTGCAAGACGTCAAATTTGTGTTTATCCCATTAGTTTTGAACAAAACAGACTTTAAACTACATCAATGGGCGTGTATCCCTTTAATCATGTACCAAAAAAACACAATTTAAGGTGAGATCGCCATACGCTTCAAAAAACACCAAAAGGTAAGTAATTAAACAGTTTTTTTTTACATGACTAAAGGGATTACATGCCCGTTGAGGTAGTTTGAAGTTTATTGTTTGTACAAAACTAAAGGGGAAAAACTAAAGGCAGAAATGGGTATTGACTATGAGTATGCTGGTCTGACAAGGTATGTTCATATGACAGACAGTGGCACTACCAGGGGATGGCCACGAGTGGCCACAGCCACCCTGTAAAATGCCCTGGCCACCACACTCGCCAGTGTAAATTGTAGTAGCATCAGTTAGGCATTTCATCTCATTATGCACAGCCAGCGATGTAACATTAAAAATCACACAATAAACCAGGATATGAGTATTGAGGTGTTTACTTAAGTCTTTATGTTTTCTACAAACAGGTTTACCACAATAGTAGATTCGAACCCTGAAATTATGGATTTTAGTTTCAGTGTGACATCCATGGGCAGTTCTAGACAGAGGTCAGTGGGGGCCAGTGCCCATGAAGATCATGTTCTGGCCCCTGTTGTGGCTCCTGTACTGAAGAAATAATACTCAAAGAAGTTCTAATGATAATATGCGCTGGAACAGACATGGTTACTGATAGGTCCTTTGGATGTATTTCATTTTTTTCTTTACAAATTCTGTTTTAAAAATTATTTAAAAACAATAAGGTGATAGCTTCAGTAGTATTGAGATAGGTGGCGTTTTTCTTGAGTTCTAATTCACTTTTTTTTTTTTTATGGTAATTTTGACTTACATCAAGTCAAAAATATCTAAAATTCCTACATTATGAATGCATATTGACCTAATAAGAAATAAGATTTTAATTAATCCTAATTGAAAAGAATTTTCACTTCATGCAGCAATTTGAATCCCTTGCTCTGTTTTTTATTTCATGCTATTCTGTGCCCCCATGAAAACACACTGGCCCCCTCCTGGCCCCCTGGTACATTTGGTCTAGAACCGGCACTGGCGGCTGGCCATTAGAGGGCGCTAGGACGCCGCCCCACCCCGCCTAATGACCCTAATTAAGACATAAAAATTATATATATATATATATTTTTTTTATATATAACGTTTAACAATATTTTAAATGTTTATATATATATATATTTTTTTTTTTATATATAGGCATTTTAATATTTCGAAAAATATATTATGTATTTCTTACATGTGCAATATAAACATTCAATCTTTAATGACTAGTAAAGCGTTATTCAGTTTGTTTAGATTGATGATGTATTTCCGCCCTATGGCACAAAAATCTTTGTCCATGGACTATCATTAAAAGTTGTCCATGCGCAGTAGATCCTCTGTAACACAAAGGTATAGGAGAGCTCGGGGCACAGCTCTGTTGCGCCCCGAGATGACAGGAAGTGTATTGGCTCACCACCTCCCGCCACAGCGCAGACGTTTAGCGGGTGATTGACAGGTTGAGTCGCGGCAGTTGGAGAAGCATTGGAGAAAGAGAGAGAGAGACAAATGGCACAAGAAAAGTCCTTTTCCAGGATCTGGTTGAGCAAGAAGGCTTGGCTAACTGCATTTAGCGAGGCTTGCACTCAATGCCGTAGCAACACAAAAATAGGCCCGTAAGCAACATTATCTGTCTGGGCCCCATACTTCTTTACTTTTGCTCTTCTGGAATCATTTAGGAGAGATGTTTCGCACCACTACATCTGCAAAGAGACATCCTAGTCCACAATAGCATTGGGGGCCACCCAGGTGCTAGTGATGGGGCCTCTAATAGGTTGGGGGCCCCTAAGCCACTGCAGTCTCTCCTTACCGTTAGTTATGCAATTGGTTGAATACTTTTGTCCAACTACAATACATTTGATTGGTTTTTCGCGTACCTCTATTTTTTATTTATAGCCCCCCTAATTATTGCTAATTATTTAAAAACAATAAGATGATAGCTTTAGAGGTATTGACAAAGGATCCAGGTTTTCATCTGCTAAATGCTTTTTTTTTTAAAAACAAATAAAAAAAACTCAAACTTTTACAGCTGAATTCAACAGTTTTTCTTGAGTTCTAATTCAGATTTTATGGAAAATTGTAATTTTAACTTAAATTAAGTGAAAAATATGCAACATTCCAACATTATGAATGTATATTGACCTCATAAGAAATAGAATTTTAATTAAACCTGATTGAATAGAAATTTCACTTCAAGCAGCTATCTTAACCTCTTAAAACCTACCGGGTCGTCAGTGAACAAATATACAATAAAACCCGCCTTTTCTCAAGAATGTCTTCATTACTGCTGTTCAAAAAAGACCCATCATTTCCGAGAATAAAAAAAAAAAAAAACAACTTTGAGTCATGTGTGAACTGATGCAGGTTGGTCTGTGTTCTAGTCACCCAATTTTAATGTATATATTAGGAAACTAGAGGGTGTTAACTTTCAATTAAATTTCAATTCAGTTTATTTATACAGCACCAATTCACAAAAGATGTCATCTCAAGGCACTTTACAGTTCAACCAGATCATACAGTCAAATTGATTACAGTTTCTAAGTTATTATTTTTTTTTTCAATTTGGGTATGGAAAATAGGCGAGGATTACCCAAAATGAGGTGGATGTTAAAAGGTTAATATATTTGAATCCCTTGCCCTGTCTTTTATTTCATGCTATTCTGTGCCCCCATGAAAACACGCTGGCCCCCGGGTACATTTGGTCTGGAACCGCCACTGCAGTCATACCTGGCTACGCCGCAGAGCGTTCATATCAGATGAGGCTTTTGTATATGGGACAACACCGCTGGAAGGAGAGGCAGGGAGGAGCAGGAGGAGGTCTGCCCAAACCCCGCCTCCGGTCTCGGATCATCTCGCATTCCTTCTTCGCGGCCCCTCATGCCGTAGATTGATAGAGAAAAGGAAGCAGAAACACAGACAGGGCAGACGAAGAAGCAGAAGAAAGAAGAAGGGGCGCAGCGAAGCGACCATGGCAGTATCCACGACGCGCCAGCGCGAGACAGAGTCCGAGCAAAGCGCGCACCCTCCACCGCCCAGCAGAGCCCGGAGCATGCAGACGCACCACAGACAGCGTCTCGATGAATGAAAGCAGCCGTGTTACCTGGGCCGCGGACACAATGAGGGTCATCTTTACCCAAAACGCCGGTTTCGTCGCAGCCTTTTCGCCTTTCTTCTAATATTGGCAACGTTTAGGACGACAGATGACGTGAACAACATAGAACTGACCGCAGTTAGATCGTGCCAATTTATTTATGTTTTTTTTTTCTTCTTAAATAGATGAGGGGAGAAAAAAAAAAGCAGCATGCAAACATAATACAGCCAGTATTTTAAAAACGAAAGCGTAATCAGATTGCGAAATCTGAATAAAAACAGAATAGTCAATGTTTTATTAGCGACATCATTGGCATTTTAATATAATTTGTATGCATAATTATTATAGATCAGTGAGATATTTTTAGTAATCGATCATCATAGCGCGATTAGAGCATAAATAGGTTAAATGTTTGTTCACTTTGATCAAAGCCAAATGATCAAACAAGACACTCAGTAAATGAATTATATATGTAATAACTACACTTTCTTTATTATTTGTAATTTATTTATTTATTATTACTATTATTAGGTCTATAAGTATTATCTTATCAATAGTTTTAGTTGGTAGTTTAGAAATATTTAGATTTTTTAAGATACCTCTCCAGAGAAATGGAGACCGCTTATTTATCCGCAAACCGAGAGGGCCCCCAGGGGCCCCAGAGAGGTCAAAGCTTAGCGGGTGTCCCCTCTCCTCCGGGCTCACCTGTCGGCGGATCACCGGAGGAGACCCCCTCTCCGGGTGATGGACGGCGGAGCTCGGGCGTGAAGAAGCACCACCACAAACACAACCTCAAACACCGCTATGAGCTCCTGGAGACGCTGGGAAGAGGCACCTACGGCAAAGTCAAGAAGGCTATTGAGCGGCAGACCGGCAGAGAGGTGAGCCCACTTCATAAGAGCCCCTCAGCAGCTGTAAATAAGCTGCCGGGGTGATTTAATGCTCCACAGAGGACCGTTTCTACATGCTTGCAGCGCAAGGTTACATTTCCATTCATTTGCAAACAAATGCCACATAATATTTTCTTGCAGTATATTAAAGTAGCCTATGTGCAAATGATGATAGCCTTGCAGGAAGCGCAGTCTTTCATTAGAGGCGCGCGCTTGTCCTCCTGCCACCCCGCTGGGAATTTCCCCTACGCTCCAAAATGGGACCCATGGGGCCTGGGAGCTGCGCGGCACACGCCTTGTCCTGTTCATGGCCCCTCGACCGGATGTTAGGGTTCAGATCCGGCTACTGACAGACTGATGCCACTGCTGTAGAGTTACCCTCAAAATGACTCCTCAGAGGTCTGTTTCCTTTGTTTAAGTTTAGAGCAGGGGCGTTGCAACACATATAGGAGTACTGGGGCACAGGTTAAATATAAATTAAGTCCAGGCCATCACATACAATTTATATGTAAAAAATAAAGAAAGAAATATAAATAAATAAAATAAAAAATATGGCAAATGAAGATAAAATGAGTTCCAAACATTTGTTGTTGTTGTTTTAGACATATTTGCATAAGTCAATCAATGTTTTCTTCAATTTTAATCATGACAACTTTTGTCAGGAAATGTAATTGGGAAGTTTTACTAGGGACACAGAAGCTACATTCTGAACCATCAGAATTGACATTGAAAAAAATTAAGTTTTACTTCAGTTTATCAAATAGTAGTATAACAGGACTTGGACTTTGTCAGGACAACAAAATTGTTACATGGTGCTGTGTCATTAGTTAAAAGGGTTACCTTAAAACATTAATTCAATACCTCAAAATGAACATTTTCAGACTTTTAAGGTATGAGAATATAGAGAAAGTTCCCCTAAAGTTGGAAGCCGTGTTGGGAAAGGGAAGCTTTGCCACCAACCATCAAACCAATATCCAAAATGGCTGCCTATTATTTCATATTTAATAACTAACTAAGTTTATTTGGAATTTTGAAAATCTATCCTGTAAATCTGTAATTTCTAGCCCATGTTGGGGGTATTGAGACGCCCCTAAAATAAGTTGTTTTTTATACAGTGTGCACTTTAAAAACCAAACAAATAAAACCAAAATAAATGATAAAAGTGTAAATACTAGCCTATATAGTACTTGAGCTTAATATTTGCAGAAGGGCTGCCTACCTGCGATACTGGTGTGAGTGTCTGGTTTTAACTGCAATATTTTTGCAAAATGCTTAACTTATACTTAATACCAAAACACATTATCATGATTACTTTTTACTTCCCCAGCCAGGATTGTGTGTGTCTGTGTGTGTGCGTGTTCACATTTAGGTCAGTTTTCCACTTTCTCTTTCTTTTTTAACCTGATTAGCTGTTTGCATCATAGCAAACCCAACCATTGCTCATGTATCCTTACAGGCTTGAACATCATGGCAAAATATGACCCCTATGCTCACTCTGGCAAGGCACGTGGAACTTTCCATGAAGATCTGTATACAGGTCATAACCGACACCCCACCTCTCTCCCACTGGTTTCACAGCTCCTGATTATCAAAAATCATCTGATCATCTTTTGACTTTGTCGACCGTTTAACTGTGAAAAACTTTGGCTCATACAGTATGGTTGGCTTTGAATTTTTCATCACAAATCAGTAAAGCAATTCTGCAGTTTCATATTTCTTCACTTTTTTATGGTATGCATGGCGTAGTATGCATTTATGATATGATAACCTTGAAGAACAATGCCATAGTTGCATTAGATGTTATAAAGCTAATATAAGAACATGATTCAACTGCTTTTATTTAGCTCATGTACTTATTCTCACCATATTACCTATTACCAATGTAAACTATACCTTTCACTTTCATCACTGCAGAATATTATACCATTTGGATGTTTTACTATTTATAGAATATTGCAAAAACAACAGCCTGGTTAAAGTGTAGCTTGCCAACAGTAGATTTATGTGTCGAATGATGGGTTGGGCTCTATTTGTTTCCACCATGTCACTGTCCATGTTTTACACCACCAGAAATTCAGGCTAAAAGACACAGATAGTGTCTAATTGCAGTAAAGATTAAGAAAACTGCAATGTCCCCATGCATGATGATTTAGCCTAATTTTCCTGGCATATTTCCTTCTTTCAACATTTTTAGCCGCCGCACTCATGCAGCACTAACAGAGCCTGACTTCCTCATAAGCCACGTGCGTCTGATGTTACGCTGTAGTGTTTACTCGACCTTTAACCCCAAGAGGAAGTCCCTCGTGTCCTTCTGGGAGATACAAGAGTCGTTTTCAGACCACTCACTCGTCAAATTCAATCACGGGAAGAGACGGACAAGATAAATGGAGGAAGCTGTGCTTCTGTGTGCGTCTGTCTGTGATGGAATTAACCGAATGCTCTGGATGAAGACTGATTAGATGTGGCTCCATCAGCGTATCAGTAAATGTAGCACAGAGTGTCTGCTTTGATCTGGAAAGCCATATGTTGCATTGCTGGGTAAAAGAGTTGGAATCCAACAAGTATATGAAGTTGATTGCTTTGATCGTGTGCATATGTGACAAGCTTGTTTGATTTAGCATGCCTGCAGAAGATTTGCTGCTTGCCATTATATTCTGAAACACAGTGTGTTAGCCCCTATGTATTTAATGACATCTGTAGTAAAAAAAGACGTGGTGACAGGCAGACCCTGAGTGAATACTGACACATGAAAGGGCATCCACAGCAGGAAATGAGATGGGAGGGAAGGTTAATATCCTGTATAGAGGAATCATCAGAGACAGGAGGAGGTGAGCTGTTAGCACAAGGGATAAAGGGAACCCCAGCACAATAACAGACAGGCTGCCTGGGTTGAAGGGAATAGAGTCACATAAATGTGATCTTAAAGCACCAGATTACATCATTCTCCAATAATTGCTTCAATGGGGAGGTGCACAGAAGGGGGAAAGAATCTAACATTCCTCTGCTGTATGCGGAGCTGCTGATGAGGTATTATGATTCCTGGCTGTGTTTGAGGATAAAGTTCTCTGGCAAAGTGACGAGCCTCTTCCTCCCAGTCCTGCTCTCTCTTCAATTGTCCCATTTATGACTCAGACACACAGTCAACACAACAGATGCTCTAACCTTAAGGCAACACAAAGATGGGTCAGTGTGTGATGAATACTTTTATCTGTTTTAATGGCCTGAGAAAGCACTGGAAGATGTCAGGCTCTACTGAAGCGAGGCAAGAACTTTCACTTCAAACAAGCTCCTTTCAGAGAGTGGTTTGGGGATTGTGGGTGAGGGGGTGGTTAGTAAGGGGGTGTGGGTTATGTTTCCCCAAACCTGGCATGGGGCAGCATGGGCAGCAGTACGGCGACTGTTTACTGTGACTGATGGTAATAAGGGATCCACTTAAGAACAAGCAGAGCTGTGTCAACTGACCCGACAAGGAGTTGATCCACAATCCCGTTAAATGATCCACGTAGAGTTCTGGGCATGGGAACACGAGGAGCTTCATGATGGTAATACCTGGCTTATTTCAAGCCCAGTAAGGATGAGGTGGCCCATTCAATAAGTTAGAGTAAAACTGCTTTGATTACTGATTGATTAATGCTATTCTGAGGGAAGGTTGTACTGCTGTAGAAAACATTTTGCCCCCCTTACAGACTTCTTTTATTTTGCCCTTTTTGTCTCAATTACATAGATCATATAACCTGACTCCGTCAGATGGATTTGCTCCGTATATCCATCTGGAAACCTTCCGTTGAATTAATTTTGTGAAGGGGCGAAAATACTGGTTAGCTGATTGGCCTATGTTGGTGATAGACGGGCCAAATAAACCAATCAGATCAACGAAGCATATGACGTACTAATAGAGTGACTACGAAAACACAACCACAAGCCAGGCTACTCTTGCGGAAGAGCAAAAACGTCTTTTCCTCTGAGAAAAGCCTCCAGAGCAGTGTTTTGTTCTTCTTTCAGTGAAGAAATACTCTGTAATTCCGATAAAACTTGCTCGATAGCCACGCTAACGCTAGTTTCATCAGCTAAAGCCGCCATGTTCTTTAGACTGAATTGTCGCGCTTCTCGTTGCGTCACACCTCAACCCGCCTCAAAGCCAAGGCTGATTGGACGTTCGTTTGGTGAACGGCTCCAAATTTTCTTTAACGAAGAGTCTCCAGACTGATCTGCAAGTGAAACCTTGGAAGCTCGCGAGATCAGGATGGTCTCAAGAGGCTATATCATTTTCATTTATTTCATTTATTGTTTATTTGAAAGGGGACAATGTACATTAATCAACATTAAAACAATGTAAATATACCCGAGTTAGCTAAGGAGTGCTTATTTTCATCTGCAGTCCCCCAGCCAGATATTAAAAAGGCAACCTTAAAAATAAACACAAGTATAAAATCACAAGATTAAATTACAATACCAATTACATAAAAAACATAGATAGATCATATACTTTACAAGCGAATGTCAAACAAGATTACATGAGCAAATAAAACATTGAGTTTGAATAATTGTATATTTATTAGATAAAAAAAAAATATTTTCAAGCCAGCCCTATATACATACATAAACACCCCCAAATAAAAAAAAAAGAATTATTTATGACATATGTAGATCTAGCTTCTTTTATGAACCTCCTGGATAAGCCACTCACGTGCCATTGCGAATATTCAGCTGTTAGACTATAACTGATACTTGAGGTAATGGTTTCGATTACTGTTAATCATTACTTTTTGACTTTGTCCCCACAACTCTCCAAGAGTTTTAGCATCTCAGCTGTTATAGAAAAAATCTTTGTTGGGAAATTTAGGGAAGTTATACTTCATTCCTTTTCAATGTAGACATTGCACACACTGATATTGCATTGGAGATTTGGAGGTTTGATATATTGTGCAGTTCTGCAGCCAGGAAGGAAGACAACTATCCTTAGATCAGGGTACGATGTGTGCTTATTTTGAACTGTTGCTTACTTCCTGTGGTCAGACAGGTTATGTTAAAGTGATTTTGTGATTCTACTCATCTGGTTGTAATTAAGCCTAGTTGTGGCTAAAAGTGACGCAAAAAATAAGTAGTTATTTATCTTTAAGTCTTGATGACAATGGTAAAATCATAGATAAAAAGAACAATAACAGAAAAACATTGTTAGGGGAAAGAAACTTCACAGCTCTGTATGCATAACTATTTATGATATTACATGAAAGGGGCAAGAAATTCTTACATCTACTGTAAAACAATGTTATTTATATGTAAAAAAAAAAAAAAGAAAAGAAAAAAAAAAGCAGTAACGGGGTATAAAATATTCCTTATTTAACAACAACAACTCAAACCAACAAATTAGAAACACAGGATGCAAATCAGCTTCTACGTTTGGTTATAGTTTAACGTCTTTAAATTCTGTGTAATCAAGGCATGGTCTGGACTGGAGTTATTCTGGATTGGGGTTATTTTTATTGATGTACATGGTAATTAGCTTGGCACTCGCTACCGCTTGTGGTTTTCCCGGCATGGGTTCCTTTGAAGGAGGCAGCCTTGCAAGGAGAGGACAAAAGTTTAAACTAACAGCATTTAGAGTGAACAGACGCTAACCATGCACAATCAAAGAAGACCTACGACTCTATCCAGGATCTATATGCTGAAATTAGCATGATGTGCAAGCCTGTGCACTCTCAATTGGTTTATTTGAAGAAGGCCGCTAAATTGTCACTTATGGAAAGCCTAGGCTGGCTGTTCTGATGCTTACAGTTGCGGCTGTTGGCAGCCTGATGGCATTGAAGAATCATCAAATCAAGTGTTGTTTGTAGCAGCTGGATTTCCGATTTCAGGCCCATTTAGCAGGCCAAGTGAAATTAATCACTCTCTCAACCTTTGCTCATTATCCTGATTCCTGTTTAAAACTCTCAGCAGGACCGTTTTACTGGCTGTTTGAAGTGAGGCCATTAGCTGTTCTTTATTAGAATGACTTAAAGTGGGTTACAGAGCTGTGATTAGTGACCTCTCAAGGACTTTTTGACAGGTGGGGAAGCATGCTGTTATTAGCAACACTTTGTCTTTTGTTGGAGCCCCCTTACTTTTAGCACATTGACTGGTCGGCTTCTCCTTCTTTTATGACTTCACTTGATTCCAGCCTTTTGCATCAGGGTTTAGTTCCTCCAACCACATGCAAACCTGCTGAGGCTTTGCATATGGGTGCTGAACATTATCCTATCATAGCAGTGATGCTTCAATAGGTGTTTTGTCGCTTATCTCTGATGCTTGTTTGTGAACTGCTGACTTGCCACTATCAATTTTAAGCTGATTCAAATAATATATATATATATATATATATATATATATATATATATATATATATATATATATATATATATATATATATATATATATATATATATATATATATATATATATATATATATATATAGCAGACCAGTAGTGGCTTCCGCTCTCTGAAACGGCAGCCTCTATAGTGTTAATTAAATCTAAGCATCACGTATTACATTAACAAATGTTGAAACACATAAAACACATTATTACAGTGGGGGAAAATAGCTGTTGTGAAACACTCTGAAATAATAAACTCCAGAAACCACGGCAAGAGTTCAGCCCAAGATGATCTGACTGAATGATCCCTTTTCTCTCTCAACTCATGAGGAAAACCTTCTCACTGTCTGTCTACTGTCAGTCAAAATATGCCTATTAACATTGATCAGCCAGCTTCACGACACGCCCCTGCGCCATAGACACCCTTAGAGGTTTAACCTCACTAGAAGTGATGATTTTGCCGTATTATCCAATCGGGGCTCTACTTTATCCCTGGCAGCGTCGTTCTGCTCCTGAGTGCAGGGGAGATAACATCCATGAGCGGGCTCAACAGCTTGATACAGATTAATGCACAGTATACTCATGAAATCAGGCACATTTTAGGTCATATTTAATGCAGTTTAATGCATATTTCACCAATAATTTAAAGAAATTTAAAGAGGAGATTTAGCCTCCCTATTATTCGTTGAGAAATCGGCAGTTTTTAAATTAACTACCTAAACATTTTGTGCTTCCTCTGATTATGTTTTAAAGCGCCTTACTGATACTGAAAAAAAAGTGTAATTTATGCTGCATCTAGGGCTGTCCATGCTAGGGATGCACGATATTGGGATTTTGGCCGATATCCGATATGCCGATATTTTAAAACTCATGTAGCCGATAACCCATACCGATACCGATGTTAAAGCTGGACAAAAATAAATAGTCATTGAAAATAGCAGTTTTGTTATCCATTTCTGACACTTTGAAAAATAATATACTCAAATATATTTTCATATGCTGATATCAAATTGATTTTTAAAAACGCGGTATCGATCTATTTTACTTTCAAAATCTCGTGAAATTTCATCATTCTGTCACAAACTCTCATGATATTTTGCAAATTCTTGTGAGATTTTGTTAGTAAAATAGATCGATACCGCGTCAATATATCAACATATAAAAATATGGCAAAATTTTGTGATTTTTTTCGGGGGATTTCGTAGCATAACGGTGACATAGCAATATTTTATTAGTAAAAGAGATTGATATGGTGTTTTTAAATGGCAATATATCAGCATATGAAGATATTGTGATATTTTAATGTATCAATATTTTTTCCCTCATCTTTAGAAGTTTTTAAGTCTGTAAAAAAGTTTTTGAGGAAGAAGAAGAAGTAGCATTTTATTTTTTTTAGACTTTAGAAACTCAGAAGCTGATCAAATATCGGGTTAAATATCCGATATCCGATATTCAGTTTTAAGGCCGATACCGATAGGGGGCCGGTTATATCGTGCATCCCTAGTCCATGCTTTGGTATGGTTCATTCACTGCTCAGAATCAATGATGGATTTGTGAGTTGTTGTCAAGCTAATTGCCATCCCATCAAGTTACAAATCATCTGTCTCTAAACACCAACTCATTTCTTTGTGCATCTTGATTTCCTTGGTATTCACTTGCTGTTAAAGAAGCCATACTTACTTTACTAGAGTGTTTAAAAAATATATATTTTAACTAGCTGTTGCAGTATTTAAATATCCAAACTTATTATCATCTCGAAGAATGATGATCTGCTGACATGAAATTCCAGGAGGAAACTGCAATTATGATTATAAATTGATGTTTCCACTTAGTACCAAGCATTACTCTGTGCCAGGTTGGCTGTAAAACTGCATCAGAAATCAATCAGTAGTGCTATGAGTGAACTTTCAGTGTTTATTGATATAAATGGAGCAGTAGATAAGTGAAGCAAGTGGTTTTTCATACAGCTTAGTACCCAAGACTCCCATTTAGATTAGTGATAAAGAATCCGAAAGTGTTTTGCTTCTAAATGAGCTCCCTAATGTTATTGTTAGAGACGGATTGAGGTATTTATCATAGCCTCATTTGTAATGCTGATTGATATATCTTTAAATATATAAGACAAGGTTCAGTTACATATATATGGGCCTACATGATCTATGTCTTTTTGGGGCTCACAAACTTAGACTAAGACTAATTGACTTTACATAGCATGAAGCATGTGCTGTAAAATAGCTGTGTAAAAGTTAAAGGTCACTGATAAGATAATGCATGGGACTCTAATTTGCACTTATTTAACAATTTCCTTATGAAATTAAGCTTATTTACTGTTTATTAGGAACACAGGACATCTGTGTCTAATTGTTAGTAATACTGGAGCCTGCAGAAATGTCCATCATAGGCGGCTTTAAGTTATCTAATTAAAGGGTGATTGTTTCTGTCTCTTTCCAGGTAGCAATCAAATCGATCCGGAAGGAGAAGATAAAGGATGAGCAGGACATGGTGCACATCCGCAGAGAGATTGAAATCATGTCATCCCTCCGCCACCCACACATCATCTCTATATATGAAGGTGAGAGTCTGGAGAATGTCTGGAAAATATAAAAGGCTCTGTAAAAAATAATGTAAGACAGTTGTACATCCTGAATGCACATAGAAATCTAAAATGCATCCTTCCTCTAACACATGTAGCACTTGTGGCCAAGCTGCAGGACTGTCATTATTTTGACATGCATATGTCATAATAAGTCCCAGGCTACGGCTCTGGGATGTTATTCATCTCCTCTGTCTGGCTGCCTGGACCAGTAAAAGTCGGGAAGGTTTTTGGCAGTGTGTGTCTGGATGTCTTTTAACGGGTGTGTGTGTTGTGTGTGTGGGGGGGGTGATATTCTAAGGGATCTCCTTTCCCACATCCAAGCAGTCTCATCCCTTGTCTTCTCTGGTCTTGATCTCAGAGCCAGACATCTGCTGATACTTAGAGACAACTGCAGCTGGAAGCCAGACTGTACTGTGTGTTTAGACATATGTGTGTCCCAATGTGATTGTGTCAATGTAAAAGGCTCTTTGATAAGAGTGTGTGTATATATTTAAATTCAGAATCACTAGATTGACCTCTGTGACCTAGCCCTGCTCCCTCTTTGACTCTAGTCCAGCTCAATGCAGTGGGAGGAAAATCCTTAAGTCTTCCCTGGAGCAACAGCAACCATAAGTCTACTTCAGGACGAAACTCTGTTAAATATCAAAGCCTTCACATCAGGCCTAGACAGCATGGATATTTATTTTTCTGAACTTCTGTTTTTGAGATGAGCCATTTTAAATTACCTTAACCCCAAAGAAGGAAAACAGAGATTAGAATGAAGGGTGACTGCACTGAACAAGTTAGTCTTTGTTTCTTAGATGATATGGCCCATATGCAGGTAGTTAAGGTTGCATGCTCAACATTTCCTGACATATGCCAGCGTATGCCATACATGGGCCATAAATTACAGGTAAGTTATTTGATCATCGACATACGTTGAGTGCAAGTTGCTCATAAGTCGTGGTGTCTAGCTTATCCAAAGCCTATGTAGCTTTTGCATAACTTATCATATGCTTAACTTATTAAGAACTTATCTCCAACGAATATCAACGTGTTTGACGTGCTTCAGACGACTGCTGAATGCGTTTCTAACTTACAGCTGCTGTATAATACCGTATTGACAGCGTTTTGTTATAAAAGGGGCGTCACAGGAGGAAACCGTCTATTCTCCTACAAGGCAAGGCAAGGCAAATTTATTTGTATAGCACAATTCAGTACAAAGACAATGCAAAGTGCTTTACATGATTAAAATACAGGAAGATAAAACAGAATCAAAGCAAGTAGGAAAAAATAAAAAGATAAATAAAATAAAAAATGCAGAAACAAAAAAGAATATTAAAAACAGTTGGACTAAAGAAAATATGTTTTAGTTGAACTGTTTAACTAGAACACTCGAAGGCAATCCTAAACAAATGTTTTTTTTAGTCTTGATTTAAAGGAACTCAGGCTTTCCGCACTTTTACAGTTTCCTGGAAGTTTGTTCCAGATAAGTGGAGCATAGGAACTAAATGCTGCTTCTCCATGTTTAGTTCTGGTTCTAGGTATGCAGAGCAGGCTGGAGCCAGAAGACCTGAGTGGTGGTTAGAACTGGGGTGATGTGCTTTACTTTCTTAGTCTTAGTGAGGACACGGGGAGCAGCATTCTGGATCAGCTGCAGCTTTCTGATCCACTTTTTAGGCAGACCTGTGAAAACACTGTTGCAGTAATCAATTGGACTAAAAATAAACGCATGGATTAGTTTTTCCAGATCATGCTGAGACATTAGTCCTTTAATCCTGGAAATGTTCTTCAGGTGATAGAAAGCCAACCTTGACCTACAGACTGCATCCCCATCATATGGAGAAGGTGAGTGTGTGGGATCCTCCTTGCGAGGGGCATCTCTAGATTTAAGAGACAAGGGTGGCTCAGCCCCCAGAAGATAATGCGCGCGAATTTTTTCAGTGCACCTGCTAAGGCGTTGTCTAAGACAAGCGTGTAACTTTGTGTTGAAAGTTGGTGGGGACGGCTCATAAGGAAAGGGAGCTACCTGCGCGACGCCTTTTTTTTTTGTTGGAAAGGATAAAGCCAAAAAAATGCGAATAACATTTATCAATTTAATGCTTATAGTTGAAAACATAACTGTTACAATATTCACTTATATATTTTGTGCAAAAAATATCACATAAATCTAAACAGACAGTACAAATCAAAGAAATCAAATAAATATATCAATTTTGTAGAACATTTATTGATGGTCAATTTTGGGTCACTTTTTAAAATTAATTTACTTTTAAACCAGGACTCGGACAAGATCTTATGGGACCTTAAGCAGAATATGATTAAGCAACTCCATCTTTCTGTCAAGAACATCCACTAGCAGGGTATCCAGGGGGGGATTTACCATTAGGCAATACTAGGCAGTTGCCCAGGGCCCCAAGTTCTGGGGGCCCCATAAAACTCTGTTTCCATGTATGGTTAATACAACTTCAATCCTTATTTGTGCTCATTAATTATGTTTTTGATAAAAATCCTTTGGCTAAAATGCCATCAGAACGCTGATAAATAGAGAGGAAAAAGGGACAAGAAGAGAGGGAAAAAACCTAGAACAAATAATGGATGTCTATTCTATTAACATTTCTCTATCTGTAGAATGGGTCTGTTTTATGGGTTTACTTCTCAAGGGGCCCCCTGCCTGTCTTTGCCTAGGGCCCCAAATTTCCTAAATCCGCCCCTGAGGGTATCAATACTGATTTGATAGAATCTGGGAGAGCGGACTATGTTCAACCATCCATTTTCTTTAACCTTATCCCTCAGTGGGATCAGGAGGTGCTGGTGCATATCTCTAGCCACGTTCTGGGTGAGAGGTGGGATCACCCTGGACAGGTCACCAGTCTGTCGCAGTATGTTCAACCAGCTTAAAAGTAATCGGTAATCAGATTTATTATTTGCACTTTTACTAAGTGAACTTTCTAACTCCCTTAAATCTGAAATTCCAATGCCAAAATTGTTTAAATCTTTTATCTTTGGACCCCCTGCAGAGTGACGTCACACCTGCAAGATCCTATCCTTACCTTCCTGCTAGATTGCAAAAAGCAGCTTGCTCATGAGTTGTCAACTTAACACGCTAAATCTTAAATGTACATGTATATACACTATATTGCCAAAAGTATTTGCTCACCCATCCAAATTATTGGAATCAGGTGTTCCAATCACTTCCATGGCCACAGGTGTATAAATCCAAGCACCTAGGCATGCAGACTGTTTTTACAAACATTTGTGAAAGAATGGGTCGCTCTCAGGAGCTCAGTGAATTCCAGCGTGGAACTGTGATAGGATGCCACCTGTGCAACAAATCCAGTCGTGAAATTTCCTCGCTCCTAAATATTCCACAGTCAACTGTCAGCTGTATTATAAGAAAATGGAAGTGTTTGGGAACGACAGCAACTCAGCCACGAAGTGGTAGGCCACGTAAACTGACGGAGCGGGGTCAGCGGATGCTGACGCGCATAGTGCGAAGAGGTCGCCAACTTTCTGCAGAGTCAATCACTACAGACCTCCAAACTTCATGTGGCCTTCAGATTAGCTCAAGAACAGTGCGCAGAGAGCTTCATGGAATGGGTTTCCATGGTCGAGCAGCTGCATCCAAGCCATACATCACCAAGTGCAATGCAAAGCGTCGGATGCGGTGGTGTAAAGCACGCCGCCACTGGACTCTAGAGCAGTGGAGACGCGTTCTCTGGAGTGACGAATCGCGCTTCTCCATCTGGCAATCTGATGGACGGGTCTGGGTTTGGCGGTTGCCAGGAGAACGGTACTTGTCTGACTGCATTGTGCCAAGTGTAAAGTTTGGTGGAGGGGGGATTATGGTGTGGGGTTGTTTTTCAGGAGCTGGGCTTGGCCCCTTAGTTCCAGTGAAAGGAACTCTGAATGCTTCAGCATACCAAGACATTTTGGACAATTCCATGCTCCCAACTTTGTGGGAACAGTTTGGAGCTGGCCCCTTCCTCTTCCAACATGACTGTGCACCAGTGCACAAAGCAAGGTCCATAAAGACATGGATGACAGAGTCTGGTGTGGATGAACTTGACTGGCCTGCACAGAGTCCTGACCTCAACCCGATAGAACACCTTTGGGATGAATTAGAGCGGAGACTGAGAGCCAGGCCTTCTCGTCCAACATCAGTGTGCGACCTCACAAATGCGCTTCTGGAAGAATGGTCAAAAATTCCCATAAACACACTCCTAAACCTTGTGGACAGCCTTCCCAGAAGAGTTGAAGCTGTTCTAGCTGCAAAGGGTGGACCGACGTCATATTGAACCCTATGGATTAGGAACGGGATGTCACTTAAGCTCATATGTGAGTCAAGGCAGGTGAGCAAATACTTTTGGCAATATAGTGTATAAAAGAAAAAGGGGCGCAGTGCTTGCTACTGAATGGCAACACTATCAAAGTCAGGAAAAAGTTTTAAGTAAAGCCGGGATTAAAACAGTAGCTACAAGAAGCTTCAAATAAAAGGTGTTCTTTATGTTCAACCTAAACACCAACTCCGATAGACCATCAGCAGAGCAGGTGTTTAAATTAATCAATCACTGCTGCGAAAGCTTATAGCAGTGAAAGCTAATATACCACAGCCATCACTTAATAAACGCAAAATAAACAACCCTCTAAAAACGGAAAACTGTAATGGACTGAAAGTCCTGTTTTTTATGTGGGAAATTATTTGCGTGTGTTTTAGTATAATTCTGATATATTGGCGCTGCTGTCTGTTTCTATGGCAACGATACTGAATGTAGTGTAGCCTAGAGACCTGCATGGGTCGAGTTTTACCAACCCGCACCCGCCCGAACCCGTTAGGATGACTACCGAACCCGACCCGTCACCCGCGGATATCTTCAATTCAAATGTTATGGGGAGAGGTTGGAGGGGGTGATGGGGAGAAAGCGAGAGGCAACAGATTCTTTTTTCTGAGTTTTTTGTCGGGGTTTGTGGACGGTGAGCAGCGGGGAGAACTTTTTTATTTTCTTTCTGAGGAGCGGCGTGAATGGGGTTTTAATCAGATATACACAGCACCGAAAGCAAAATACGTGTACAAAATATTGGTGGGGACATGTCCACACCAGTCCTTAAGGAAGTTACGCCTATGATTGTTCAGATTAACTTGTCTTCTTTATGGCTTTTATTCGGTGCTTTACTGCATTTGTTTTGGGAAAATATGAGGAAAAAATAAATACAGAAAAAAAAAATATATTTTTTAAAATCGCAAAATAATTATAGGGTGGCTAATGCCAAAGAAAGGGTGGCTGAAGCCACCCTTAAATAGGTCTAACGACGCTTATGCTCCTTGCGTTCACGCCCACGCCCAACAAACTTCCTAGCAGACATTATGTTGAATCTGCTGCGACTACAAACCTTCTTCTTTCTTTTTCTTTTTTCTATTTATTCATTCTTTTTTATTGGGCGGGCGGTAAACAGCAGTCAAGTTAATACCGCAATCAAAGGAATATTTTTATGTAGACTGGGCTTCTCCGGGCGCAGCGATGCTCCCTTCAGCAACAATGTGCCTGAGAAGAGCAGCTTTAACTGGTGCTTTAACTGATCATTTCATGTGCATTAGGCTGCCGTGTTATGCATAGGTTAGGCCAGGCATCCCCAAACACGGTTCTCAAGGCCCCCTGTCCTGCAGGGTTTAGAGGTTTCCTTGCTCCAGCACAGTTGATTTTAATTGAAAGCTGATTAACAGGCTTTTGGTCTACTGCAGTCATTATAACCAGCTGTGCTGAAACAGAGAAACCCCTAAAATCTGCAGGACAGGGGGCCTTGAGGACGGAGTTTGGGGATGCCTTGGTTAGGCTGTCGTTGGACATAAGTTCTGGACTCGTTATGAATACAGTATGCATATACCCAAAATAAAAATAAAAATACATAGAATGTTAAGCGTATGCCAGCGTTTTAGAAGATACTGGGATGCTGGGCATATGCCGGCTAATTTGGCAAGGCGTGACACGGCCCTAACATTTTCTCTGCCGATTCTGAGAAAATAGCCTCATCACCAGAAGCAAAGGTTAGTTGTCATTGCCCAGTCAGACTTATCCACTGTCCTTCGTTCAAGTACAAAGTTCCTGGATCATTATCACTAATGCCTGTGTAAACAAACACAATTTGTAATGGAAACGTGCCAGTAAGCCATTAATGGCAGCTGGGTTTTATGCATCTTTTGGGAGAATGTTTAAAAGTAAAGGAGGCCTTTAAACCCTGAGGAGGTCCTACAAGGCTTTTTGTTAGTATTATCCTCATCATAAGCAACCATCTCTACTAGCAGTCTTGACCAGACACTGGTGTTTCTCCTCAAAGTCAGCTTATAATGTTGTGGCCTGGCAACCACCCAGGATATGCTTGCTTGCTACAGATGTCTAGGAGGCCCATAGATTTGTGTACCCGGCAACACCCTCTTACAACAGCCCCTGCTAACTGCCTTGTGTGAAGCAAAGCTGAACCAGATGTGTGAGTGAAGATGGATTTTTACCACTCCCTTATATTTTGCATTCGTCAGCATGCTGAGTAGGGCGCTTAGGAGCAAGCGTTACAACTTTGCATTTAAAAAAAGTGAGATTGGTGTTAGAAATATATGTCCTAACATAGAGATTGAGATATTCCGTTTATCTTTACAACAGATGATGTTCTCTATGTGCATATTTTCTACACTTCTCAACAATAATGGGCATTTAAGAATAATCTTTAAGGCTCTTGCACAAGTAAAAACTAAATTTTGTAATGCTGACATGGCTTATTGTTTTGCAATAATTACACCCATGTAAAAATTACAATATCGGGGTGACACAGCAGTAAAATTTTATGTTTTAACAGTGAGTGTTTTCTGACTCATTTTTCTTTTTTGGTTGTTTTTACTGGCCAAGACCAGTTTCAGCCATTTTTATAAGAACAATGATTAGGGAATTTGTGTGTGAGAGCAGTTGCTGTGTGAATGGGAATATTTATATTGTGTTAAGTAATGCAGGGCAGTAAATATAAGCTAAAGTATTTTAAGAATCTAAGACTCAATTTATTATTTTTTTTCTTTATTGAAAGTATTACTTCCCATGTTATGGCCAAAGTTTGCAGAGAAATTATGTCACTGTGAACAAAGTGGACATGGAAAAAGATGCTTTAAAGACATTTAAATTTAAATCAGATTTCATTTTTCTATTTTTTATTTTACATGCATGTCTTATAAACCCTTCATCTAGGCTATAGGTTCCATTGATTGTTTGTTTATCTCCATGACATTTTATCTGGGCACATTTATCTATTTGAACATTTCCAAGAAAAGTCTTTCAGCTCCTCGTTCAAATAGATAACAGGTGCGAATTAATCAGATTTAAGGGGCTGACATATGAACAAAGCACAGTAATTGACCAAGAACCTGTAATGGTAGCTGGCATTTCCAGCAGACCCTAACAAACCTGACTTAAGTAAGCCAGGTAATTACTTCACCACCAGGGGTTAAAGGTAAATGGGAGTGCAAGCTGAGAATTGGCTCAGCCAAACATAAGCCCATCAAGGGTCAGTGGGAATGTCACCCCAGGTCCCCACTCTGTCCACCAAAGAGAAAGCTGGACCGTCTTTGCCCTCCAGAATGGTATGGCTTAGCTGTCTGCTATTTCCCAAGCAGCCAGACATTTACAATCAGGGAGCATTAACATCACTCAGCAACTGTGTGTTTTTGTAGAGGATTATATCTTTAAAAGGACCCTGGGAGGGAAAAAAGAGGGGGACAGCCCATGAAGGTGCTCACTCAAGGGTGTAGAAAGTAGAGGCCTTCACCCTTGGTGACCCTGCTGTGTGGGAAAATCAACAAGCACAATACACGGCAACATGACTTACTGTGCTGCTGTCACGTCCTCCTTGTTTTTCTGTTCTTATCCTTACCTAACCACTGTCATGTTTTTTCACACAAATTACGTTTCCAAGATGGGATCTTACACTGATAAACCAAAGAAGGACATGCAATTAAGTTTAATGATTTACAATTGTCGGAACAGGCTGCACCTACAAAAATTCTTCATAAGTGATACGGTTTTGCTTTTTATTAAAAATTTTATTTTAGGCCACATTGACCCTATTTTTTGTTTCTTTTCTTTTCTTTTTCCAGCTTTTTATTGTCGTTACATTAAGTGTCTTTGCTCAGGGACCCAGAGTGGCAATCTGTGGGAGTGGGGCTTGAATTCAGAACATCATGGTTCCAAGCTCTATGCCCTAACCACTAGGCCGCCACTTAATTAGGCTGTAATAGAGCTGGACTAGCTTTAAGGATGTAAAAGTATCCCTTGTGATTTCATGCAGGAATACTGTGACATTGAAAATGTAATGATTTTACCATATAAGCTTGTGAATTTGTTTATTATGACAGGGCAACGCAACCTTTTCGTCTCTGCTATGATACCTATAATGAAGCTTTGACAATTGACTGATATCCATATTTATCAGCTCAAATCATACATACTTATATTGTGGCCTAAAATTTTTAAATGGCCTGATAAAATAATATTACCTACAGGGAGAACAGATAATGGTATAAAAACCTCTGACCAATTTATTATTATAAAAACTCTTCAAACTGTTTGTATCTTGTATGTCACTTGTGGAGGCTTCCTTCCATGATTAAATCGAAGAGATGATTTGCTGGGGCCTATTTTCATTGTCTGTTTCTTTAAATTCTTTAAGTTTTATCACAGCTTAACTTAATGGTATATTTTTTCACTGTTATTTGCTCTCTCTGTTTTGCATTAGTACAATTTTTAGATTATATAAGCATAAATGTCACAGCATGTGTAGAAGTTAAACTGATTGGATTGCACAACACTGGAAAAGTACTCTTCAGTTTTCCCAAAAAGTTTTTTTTTATTGAATAAAGAAGGAATAGAAATGAGAAAAAAGAAGTCTTTACATACCATTATTATAATTTACGGAGCAGGAAATGCCTGTTAGAATATTGGAGTGTGTTTTGGAAAAATGGCAGCAATCCAGGTATTATTTAATTAATAGCAGCCAGATTTTAACTTCAAATGTTCAAAAGTGTCATGCAAGGTTCAATTGTCTATTTTGTGTGGTTGTTTTCTACTTTTTCTCTTCCATAAATATCAAGCCTTTTTAATTAACAGCCTCCTCCTGCAGTTTTGCAAGAAGCCAGGCACGTGAGGTGGGGTTCAGATGATGTAACCTCTGGAATGTTGTCAAGATGTTATGTGCAGATCTGTAATTTAAAATCCTGCTCCAAAAGTAAAATGGGGCTAACATGATGGTTCACTTTACTGTTCTAACTCCCAGATCCCTTTTTGTGTGTATGTTTTCAGCTTGATTATTTCAACCTGTTTGAACCCTAAAGGTTTGCGCCTGCCTTATTTATCTTTCAGTGTTTGAGAACAAGGACAAGATTGTGATTGTGATGGAGTATGCAAGTAAAGGGGAGCTGTATGACTACATCAGCGAGCGTCGGCGCCTGAGTGAGCGGGAGACACGACACTTCTTCAGACAAATCGTCTCTGCTGTGCATCACTGCCATAAGGTGAGAGAAGTACACCGGCTAAACCAGAACAATGCACAACTCTTCATATACCATACAGACTCTGCTTTCCAGCCATGTAGTCAGATAATCTGTAGCTACATATTCTTGGTGCATTGGTTTTTAAGAATCATCTGTTATATTTAAGTAAAAAAAAAAATGGGCTGCTTAATTCAGAGTTACTCTACTTTTATGAGCCAAACATTCATTCTGAGCTCACACTCTGATGGATGTCTCAGGATATCCCCGGAGTCTTTCTCCAGGAGATTTAACACCAGGCACGCCCATTTTAGCCCATGCTTCACACATCCACAACAGCAGTGAAAACCCCCTTAGGTCACAGGGCTTGTTTGGATCCCGCCAACCAAGGGCTGTCATGCTCATCCCAGCTGCAGATAGGGGCTGACGTCATTGTACTCAGATAGAAGAGTCCCAGACAGCCATCAATGATGAATCATCACCAGCGACTGCAGCCTCCTGCCGGGTGGGATGGTGTGAGTCACTGTCATGACAAGCAAGCAATCATTTCTCCCCCATATCAACCAATCAGAGCCATGTGAACACAAACGACATGCCAAACAACAACCAATGAGAGATGCCTCACAGATCGGCGCGGGCTGGCGGGGGGGCGGTTGACGGATGAAGTCATCCCTTCACATCTGAGCTGTTCTCTGGGTACCACATGTTAATTCTGAGATGTTTTCCTAAACCAAGCCATTATCAAGGCTGTTATTTTAATACCAGGTTCTCTAAGTGCTGTGAGAACATCATTTGCACAGGGCCCATAATTACAGGCTTATATTTATGTGACACATGTGAATTGATTTAAAACGGAAATCACAGCAGATGTCAACAGAAGGACCCCAGAGAAAACAGGAGCAATTAAAATTGGACTAGACCAACAGGCTGACTTGATTTCCTCAGAGAGTCACAAGCTGTGTTATGAAGAGTAAATCATTCTGCAACACAATGGGCTGTTTATGAATAATACATTTGCTGATGCATCACTCAGTTTGATGCTGTCTTTGAATTTTAGAATGGAGTGGTGCACAGAGATCTGAAACTGGAAAATGTGCTACTGGATGAAAACTGTAATATTAAGGTGAGTCGCTCCCTAGTGTATACATCAAAGACATCAAAAAGGGTTTATCCATCACATAAGGATCATGTAAATCCTACATCCATGTGTCCACAGATTGCTGATTTTGGGTTGTCCAACCTCTACCATAAGGACAAGCTGCTGCAAACTTTCTGTGGAAGCCCCCTTTATGCTTCACCGGAGATTGTGAATGGAAGACCTTACCGTGGCCCGGAGGTGAGGCTCAGTGGTTACGATACATGATCAATCAGAAATAGTCACACACTTTTGGAGCTAAAGATTTTGGAGCTAAGCTGTTACATACAATTTTCTAAAGAACAAGTCATGGGAGGTGTGCTTCAGTGGTGCAGTGATTAGTGCACACGACTCATCTATGGAGGCCTTAGTCCTCAACATGGCCAACATGGGTTCCAATCCAACCCTTGGTCCTTGAGACTTAGACTTCTTAGACTTCCTTTATTGTCATTGCACAAAAAAACACAAGGTGAATCTTGACAACGAAATGTCAATGACTTTGCTACCAGTGTAACAGAGCTTATTCCTGCACAATAAATATTTTTCTATAACTAAGAGCTAGCTATATACAGGGTAAAGAAGTATATATGTATTGATATATATATATATACATATATATGGCACTGAGTTGCATGAGTAACATCAATAGTTATTGCTAAAGGAAACAAATAAATTGAAGACAAAACTAAACTAAGGTGCGTGTATTGTCCATGTCCATGGGGGGTGGTTTTGCCGCTGGTCTCTCCCCCTTTCTCATACCCCCTTTCCTGTCAGCCTACTGTCTAAAAAAAACGAGTCACTAGTGCCAAAAAGAAGTAGTCATACTCATTATATCTGTAAACATTTTGCCATATTACAGTCAAAATATCAAATATGATGAAATAAGGTTTTATGTTACAGACCGACACATTAAAAATAAAAAAAAATTGAGTCAATGACTTGTGGAACCATCCTTTAGATTTACCAATTACTGCTTAAAGCTGCAAGTTTTTGGTACGTCTGCATCAGCTTTCCATATTTACAGATATAAATATTTGCCCATAATATCAGCCCAGACTGAATGTTCGGGGTGTTTGTTCTCTTCGCTCAAGTTTTAAAGGTTACAACCAAATTTTTACACAATACCTTAAAAGGTCAGGCCAAATACGTTTTCATAAAAAAGCTTCAAAACATGCTTCTTAGGTGAGTAATCTGTTAAAAGAAATCATGGTTTACTCAGGCATGTGAAAGTCCATCCACTGTCAAAATGACAAAGTTTGGGCAAGGCTGCAAATTGCAGCAAGCAAGGACGTCAAAAATAGAACAAAACAAAAGTACCCGGTCTCGCCCTCAGCATTTGACCAATGGCAACCGAAGAGGCAAGCATTCTTGAAGCAGGTCCAGAACCTAACAGGAAGTACACCAGCTCTTTTACTGGTCTTATATGATTTCCTCTTCCTCGTCTGTGTCTCAAAGATTCAAAGATACTTCCAGTAAAAGCATATAAATGTGTGTTACCTGCAATCCAAAATCAAAGCTCTGATATACAATTTTTTTTGACAATTAAATGAATGAGACATGATCTTTTCCTCAGTTAATCCTCAGAGAAACACATATACCTCGTCTCTTTTATTCTTTTGCTCCCAGCACTTTGCTCTCTGGCCCTGTCCCTCTTAACACCACAAAACATACACTCTTATGTAATGTCTTAAGATGTCACATTGCATTAGGTTGGCGCTCTAAAAAGTTTTGCTCTGGACTGACAGAGCTGGAGAGAGGGGCCGACTAATCTGTGAGGAAACAATAATTTTCCCACCGCATTACTGTCATCATTTAATCTAAAAAAAAAAATGTGTCAAAAGCTTTTAAGCAGTGATGTTATTGTAGGACAGTGTAAAAGAAAATGAATTGAGTGTTTATCAAGCTCATTGTAAACATCTCAAGCTCCCACCTGATGTTGGGCAGAGCTGAGCTCATTCTGAGTTTTAATGTCATGAATCACTTATCAAAACAAGGCTTTGAAGACTGCATTTAGCTTGCATAATACACCTAAACCTCTGTATGCTTTTTTGCCCTGATCCAACATCTATACAGCACGAGGGATTGCCGCTGACTAAATGGACAAGTTTGTGACCAGGTGTTTCTCTTCACCAGGTGGACAGCTGGGCTCTTGGAGTGCTGCTTTATACCCTGGTCTATGGAACCATGCCTTTTGATGGGGGAGACCACAAGAAGCTCATTCGCCAGATTAGCAATGGTGAATACAAAGAGCCCACTCAGTCTTCAGGTATTGTATAAACCATTGGATCATACATTTAGTTGAACCAACACCAAATTTTGGATAACAAATTTAGGAAAAAAGGCCAACACTGCCAAATATTACATGTTGAATGACAGAGGTTAAAAGCTTTCTGCCTTCCTGCTGTGTCCTTTAAAGGTGTAGTAGAGGATTTTCTTTTTCCGGGTAGATAACCGAAATAAATGTTCCTCCTAATTGTCAATCATTCTGGTGATATGTTTACGTAAGGCCGTCCTATGTGCTATCTATCTTTTTCTGTGCATGCCGACTTTCAGGCGTAGATCTGTGGTGAGCTACGGTTTCAGTCATTGAAGTTCACCTTTCTCACCACGGTTCTTTGAAAATGGCATTATGGGATATGCCAGCTATCGTCATAGGCTGTCGGGAGCGGGTGCAGTGTTGTGCATGTGCTTTTTTTTTTTTTTTTTTTAGTCAAGAGAGCGGGTCTTTTAAAATTTTGCCAAAAATCTTCCACTATATCTTTAAGTCTTGCTCTCTTTTGCCATCTTTCAGTCTGCATAACCTGTTTGGACATGTTCTCATTTTAAATATTTCACTGATACTATGGCTGTGCTGGAACGTCTGCCATAAGCATTTAAGATTAGTGTCCAAATGTCAAGAATTGCTTTGCGAGAGCTCTCTTCGCAAAGCATTATGGGATTTGTTATGAGCGGAGAGTGAAAAGTAGTGATCATCTTTCTGAACAGTCAGTTGACTGATTTCACTATATAGTGCCCGCTCTATATAGTGATTGAGGGGTCATGGCGGATGTTCGGACGCAGCTTAAATGTTTTTTTAAATACCCGGAACTCATTAGGGCCAGTGAAATTAAAACAAAATTGTGAACTTTTAAATCTTTACTACAGATTTTATATCTGTTTCTAATCCCAACATTTAAATGTTATGATTCAATATTTTCTTGCTCATAGATGCCCGTGGACTGATCCGCTGGATGTTGATGGTAAACCCTGAACGGCGAGCAACAGTAGAGGACATAGCCAATCACTGGTGGGTAAACTGGGGCTGGAAGAACAGCGTCTGCGACTGCGAAGCCCAGCGGGCCCGTTTTATCGATTGGCAGATTCGCACCGAGCCACGTAATAATGGGGCCAAGGCTGCAGCCGTGCCCCAGATCCTGCGGCAGAGGCCTAAAAAATCGAAGAAGGAAAATGTTGAGGCTGGTCAATCCCAAGAGGCAGCAGAAGACAAGCCAGGTTTGAAGAGACCCAAGGGCATTTTGAAGACCAGAATCACTGAGAAGCAAAGGTCCACCAGTAAAGAGGAAGTGGATCTGAGTCAAGCAGCGCTGCCTCAAGCTGAAGGTGGAGAGGAGGCTTTAAGCCCTGACAGAGAGGAAGAGGAGCCAGTGTTAGGAGGTGGCTCACCAGCTAAGATGATACCGTCTCTACCAAAGAAAGGCATATTGAAAAACAACCAACAGCGGGAATCAGGGTACTATTCCTCCCCAGAGCGCAGTGAATCCTCAGAGATTTTAGGAGGAGCAAGCATGTCCTTGTTAGCCACCCCTCCTCCTAAGCGGGTGATGGGAAGAAAGGGCATTCTGAAGCGAAACGGCAAGTACTCTACCTACAGTGGGCCACCCTCAGCAGCAGCAGTGGCAGGGGTACTGGGCGAGCCTCCTTCTACAACCGACTCCGGTCTGTCCCGCAGTCAGAGTCGGCCCTCCAGCATCGTGGGGGAGGACAGCTCCATCCTATCGCTTTCACCGAGTTCCCTCAGCGGAGCAGAGTGGCATCCCTCCAGCCCACATCACCGCTCAAACATCAGGGCTTGCGTCTCGGCTGAAAACCTGCTGCAACTAGCCAACTTCAAAGGTCTGCAGACTGCACCACCCATCCAGGGGCCCCAATTCAGCCGTGGCTCAAAAATTAAAGGCTCCCCAGGGGACAATGGCAGCTTCTCCCTGCTGGGGGATTTGGAAGACATGACTCAGGTGTACCAACAAGCCCTGGACATCAGCAGCAATCTTACCTAACAAGCTGGTGGCAGAGGGAGAGGAAGCAGAGGGATTTGATTGTGACTCTGTGTGTGCAATGAAGTGTTTGTGCAGCATTAACGACCAGTGTGTTACTGGGATACACCTTTGGGAAGCCGTGACAAAAGTTTGGTTGCAAAAGATATGCTTGCGCTTACACAACTGCACACACAGATGCACATGTTTATGTGTAATTCTCTGTTCAGTGGAAATTCAAGTTTTAGGCTTTGTGAACAGGAGAGAGACTCTGAGCTGGCACAGGAGAGAGAAAATGCCACCCAGTATGCTGTCCTGGCCCGCTGTAGACTCTGCTGTGTTCAACATGTTTACATATTTAGCAAGAAGGCAAGTCAGAATCACAAACGCTGCACCCAGAAACTGGTTGGCTCTCCTTTTTGTACACCACCAATGTCTGAGTTTACAAAAGCACCTTAAAACTCACACAGAGCACATGCTTTTGTGATCTTTACTTCCTTTAAAAAGAAGAAACAAACCAGGGTCTTGTTCTGAATTTAAAAAGAAATATCAATGTTTATTTATTATTAATGTTTTTAAGCTTTAGTTGTAGGTGCCAAACTGGTGGGTGGCTGGTTGATACTGGAATCTTCACGTCTCCAACTCTTTGGGTGAAACTGACATATATAATTATGTTACTCAGTGATAAACATATTATTACTCAACACATAAAACCATGCTTGTGTCTGTAATACACAGGCAAATATACTTTCTTAAAAGTGTATGTCCTATATGCGTATGGTATGAAGAATATGTAGGAAGTGCCTTTTTTGATTCATAATAAAAATTATGTATGTTGTTTCCTTAAAAGAGAAGGAAAAGCCAGCCCACCCTGAGACCAGTTTTATTTTTTATATGTTTGTGAATGTGGAGAAACCCAGGGCCTTCAGAGCATACCTGACTTACTTTCCTTGTACTAGGGTTTAAAGGTTGACCTTTGGTAGGTGAAATCAAACTGTCTGGTTTTCTCCTTTTCTTTTCATCCACATGGATCAGAGCTGAGCTTGCTTTTTTCAATGTTTAAGTTCACTGTTTGTTTTATGCAGCGGTGTAGGTTCTGCTGAACATGTTTTTTACTGGAATCACAAGGAATCGCTCATCAAGTGGGACAATTCTGTGTATTGTGGTGTCAAAGGTGATATGGATAGAGGTTTTGAAGTTGGTGGAATCTTGATACGTTAATAAGGTGTGTTCACCAATTAGGAAAAAGATTCTCATTTCAGCATTCAGCAGGTTGATCTGTTTGCAGTAAACCGGTCACAGTCCATCTCTCGTCCTGAACTGTCCCTGTATAGTACTTCTGTTGGAGAGATGTGTTTTCACTTTAATTTTATGTTTTACCAAAGACGTTTCAGCTGTTTTCCACTGTGGGCCCGGTTAATATTTCACCCGCAGCTCTTCGAAAGAGCAAAGTTAAGCTTTTTGTTTTGCTTGCCGATGACACAGCAAATTCCTCAGACGAAACGCTGGAGACATGTTGTTCTAGAGATCTCTAATCATCCCGCCCCTAACCCCGACTCAGCACAGGTGAAATCTGCAGTCTGTGCTTAGCCTCCCAGCTGTGTATACTTGTTCATTGTGCCCACAGTGCACAATTAGCCCGCCATTGTTTTATTGGAGCGTGAGAGGGAGTCAGTGCGTGGAGAGTTATAGCTGCAGGGAAAAGTGAAGTGTGTAAAAGAGATATGCGATTCAGAAGATAAGGGAGGATGTGTTTGTTGAAAGCAAGAGGGAGCAGAGTGCTAGAAGCAATTTTTGATGGACATGCAATGTAGAATAGAGGGTGTAAAGAAAGTGATTAAAAAGAGTAGATGGAAAGTTTTTTGTACCAAAGATATGACGAGGCTTTGAAATGATTAAATAGGCTTAAATGAGTCCTTCTAACTCGGGTAACCCCCCATTTATAATTGTTGGAGATGCTGGAGGCTGTTGATGCAACTTGTCTAGAGAAATTTTTTCTTTATAACCTTAGAAAACGTATTACTCTTAAACATCAGCAAACATACATCGTATCAAATGATAAAGATGGTAAAAACATGCAGTTGGAGAGCCCAAAATAAAAACCATGTTGAAAGTTTTCAGTAGTCAGCTCGTGTGAAGGACAGATCCTGGGGTACTGAGTTTAATAAAAGACCCACTGCTTATAATATTGTATTTAATTGCCTTTTGTATTGCATTTTAATGTCAACTGGATTTACAGTGAAAAACTTATACTATGTTAGTATTTTGGTTTATTACGCTTCTGTTTTTGATTTTCCAAAATGTAAGAAATGTTTATTGCTTTATGTATGGCAGAAAAGCAAATACTTCCTTCCTCGAAGTATTAGAATTTCTCTGAAACAGGCACACTAATATGGCATGAAATTGGTGTTGTAATTAGATTTTTCTCTGTTTTGACACACCAAAATGTCAGAGTAGCTTAAACAGTTTAAAATAAAAAAAAAAGACCTGTTTGGAAAAGGTGGGGAAAAAATAATCTAATAATTTTTTATTAGCCAAAGCATGGGAGACCCAAAATATTGAAAAAGAAATAATTTGATGATGAAAGTTTAACTCTGCCAAACTGGAAATAACTGGTGCATACTTGTTAGTTAGCAGAAAGTCTAATCATAAGAAAACTTGACTGGATGTTGTTATGACAATAATAATAAGTTTAGTATTATTATGTTATTTAAGTATTATTTTTGTTACTGCTCATTATTTCATTTTTTTTTCATGTTTAATTGATTTTGTTGGTGGGTAATCCTGGACTTCCAAGGTTTGTTAAGTTGTGTGCCTTGGGAATTTTTCATGATTTTCTTTTCTTTTTTTTTATTATGAAAATTGTTTTTTTTGTACTTTTATTTATTGATCAAGCCATTTTAGACAGTGTGTTGAGATTCTGACACACTGCATTTAAAACGCCTGAGAGCTGTTTCATCTGACTGAATAGAACATCTCTGGAATTCTGTAAAACTTTTTAATTCAGTTTTCAGGTCAACACAATGCCCATGTAGTACTGTAATAATTCAAATAAAAGGATCTAAAAAACTTCTGGATTTCTTTTTTTGGCTTATTCTCTTTACATACACTCAGTGACACAGGCGAGTGTAAGACTCAAAGGGTATTATGAAAATGAGCAAAAAACTCAAATTTTAATGATGCCGACCTGCTATTACAGAGTTTAGCTGATTATAATTTCTGCTTTAGAAATTAATATCTCCAAATAAAAGACATTATTCTATGACTTTCTGGTTCAATATAAGTCTAAAATATCTTCATGATAAAAATATGGTGTTTTGCAAAACAATAAATACCCTTGATGTTTTCCATATTTTGTTTTAACCCTGTGTTTTGGTCGGACATTATTTGATAGCATGACAGTAAGCGCTGCTTCCTTTTTGTAGTTGAGAAGAATTGTTGTTTTAAAGACAATGGCAAATACAAATCTGAAATACATGGCAGGCATTTGTATCTAGCATTGTGAAGAAAAAAAAAAGCTAATCAGACTAGTCAGAAAGCAGAATTTGGTTCTGAAACAATATTCCAAACTATGAACATTTTAGTAAATACAGTTCAACACATTAGAAACCTACCAAAACTGGTGGTCAAACATTACTGACAGGCAGGGTAAGGAGAACATTTATTGAAGATTGTACCACACTCATGACGCACCAACTTAAATGAACACTTGAATCAAAGTAATCCAACTTAATCTATTAAGTCTATTAGATTACAATTAGAATTAATTAAGTCAGGAAAACTTAATTCAAATAGTTGTTACCAATTAATTTATGAGGGGGCAGCAATTTCTTTTAAAGCCGGGCATACACTGTACAGGGGGTAACGAGGGGAGCTCAGCCTCTCATGACCACCTCCCAAACAGGAATTGTCAGGTCAGGAGTAAGTGGGCATGCACAAACAAGGATTCTTCTTTTTGTTCTTCTTCCTCTCAAATAAAAACACAGAAGCATGGCGTACATACATCGTGAGCTGTGAACTCACATTGTACGACAAAACCCTGCATGCAACTATTGAAAAAATTGCACAGTATATGTCCGGCTTTAGAGTGCAAGAGGCCCATGGTGGCTCTGAGGGAGCTGCAGAGATTCAATATTTAGGGAGTGACTCTGTTGACAGGACAACCATTCATGAATTCCACAAATTTTATCTTCAGAATTGTTGTAAATGACAATTTACCCATTTTAGAGCCATTGAAATAAGTTGCAGAATTATCTTGGTGGCTGAAGTGAACCAGAAATGCCTTTGAAACTTGTCTCTAAAAAACAAGTGGATCTGTTCTAGTAGCACGGCTATTAGGGTCTGATTTTCAATTAACAAAAAAACATTGTTTGTAGGAATTATCTGTCCTTTAACAATTAATCTCACTGATAGACAGCTTGCAACAAAATATATCAAATTGGTGCTTCGTCCATCCAGAGAAAAAGGTACACTTTCTTTGGGATAAAACAACAGTAAAGAAAAATATCTAGAATCTATAGTGTCTTTTAACAGGAAAACATAAATAATTAATTAAATCTAATTCATTCTTCCTATTTGTGTAATTAATGGTATTTTAGCTATAACCTGAAAACTGTCTGTAAATCTAAAAAATTTGGTTTAGAGACAGATGTTGCTGTTGTTTTTTTTAATGTGGGGAATCTGTATTAAAAAGAACCAAAAGTTAGAACAAACATTTTCACTTTCTAACAGTAGGACATGTGGTGAGCTATAGCTAGATAGATGCCCTGATTTCCTTTCCATATTAAGAACAGGTGACCCAGATGCTCGCTAAAACTCAGAAGAGGTCCCCTATGATTTACTTGTTTCATCCTAATTTCAAAGTGGGGGGAAAAAAAGCAGTTTGGGGTGAAATGTTTCTTTAAAACTTTATGTCAGTTTTATGCATCTCAGAAGTTTAATTGAATGTCTGGGTTTGTTAAAAACAGACTGCCAGCCTGTCCAGAATTTACCAACCAATGAAAATGTGCCTGGTTTGAGGGTGGAAACAGTCAGTTTTTCCACACAACTTAAGCCAACGTAGTTAAAATTAAATTAACTTTATGGATGTTAAAGTGATACTCCACCCACATTCTGTTTCATTTAAGTATTTACAATACACTTAAAGTGGCCTTGAAAGATGGCTGTCAAATAGCTCAGTGGTGATGGTCAGCATTGATTTACAATGAATTCCAGTTACATTTTATACAAAAAGGAAACACAAATCACATAATTTACTTATCTAAAAAACACCTCAAACCAAATATATTCCCATTATTTAAATGTCCACCTCCATAGGTTGCTTATTGATAACTGAACTTTAAATATAATGCATGTCCTCTGATTTTCTAAAGGTTAAGAGAAATATACGCTGCAACATGGTAGTTTTTCTGATTCTAAGCGTTGTAATCTACAATAGATATATAGTTAACTAGATTTAAAACATGTGAGTCAGATTCAGGAAGGAGAATCTCTCCTATTCTCTAAAATAAACAAGGGAAGAAACAGAAGTACTTTTTTTGAAAATAAATAAAAATACACCATACAGTCTCAGAAAAGTTTATCTCCTATCACACATTTCCTCTGTGCTCCTGGGAAATATATAAAGATATGCAGTTGAAAGATGGAAATACTTGTGCTGAATCTCCTCCAACAGAACTGTTGACCAAATGTAAGTTGAAAAAAAAAAACACTTTTTATAAAAACCTGTTTTAAATCAGGAATAGCTTTTATTTATTTGCTAAATGCCAGCATAATGAAAGGCTTTTTTTTTTCTTAAAGAAATACACTATATTGCCAAAAGTATTTGCTCACCTGCCTTGACTCACATATGAGCTTAAGTGACATCCCGTTCCTAATCCATAGGGTTCAATATGACGTCGGTCCACCCTTTGCAGCTAGAACAGCTTCAACTCTTCTGGGAAGGCTGTCCACAAGGTTTAGGAGTGTGTTTATGGGAATTTTTGACCATTCTTCCAGAAGCGCATTTGTGAGGTCGCACACTGATGTTGGACGAGAAGGCCTGGCTCTCAGTCTCCGCTCTAATTCATCCCAAAGGTGTTCTATCGGGTTGAGGTCAGGACTCTGTGCAGGCCAGTCAAGTTCATCCACACCAGACTCTGTCATCCATGTCTTTATGGACCTTGCTTTGTGCACTGGTGCACAGTCATGTTGGAAGAGGAAGGGGCCAGCTCCAAACTGTTCCCACAAAGTTGGGAGCATGGAATTGTCCAAAATGTCTTGGTATGCTGAAGCATTCAGAGTTCCTTTCACTGGAACTAAGGGGCCAAGCCCAGCTCCTGAAAAACAACCCCACACCATAATCCCCCCTCCACCAAACTTTACACTTGGCACAATGCAGTCAGACAAGTACCGTTCTCCTGGCAACCGCCAAACCCAGACCCGTCCATCAGATTGCCAGATGGAGAAGCGCGATTCGTCACTCCAGAGAACGCGTCTCCACTGCTCTAGAGTCCAGTGGCGGCGTGCTTTACACCACCGCATCCGACGCTTTGCATTGCACTTGGTGATGTATGGCTTGGATGCAGCTGCTCGACCATGGAAACCCATTCCATGAAGCTCTCTGCGCACTGTTCTTGAGCTAATCTGAAGGCCACATTAAGTTTGGAGGTCTGTAGTGATTGACTCTGCAGAAAGTTGGCGACCTCTTCGCACTATGCGCGTCAGCATCCGCTGACCCCGCTCCGTCAGTTTACGTGGCCTACCACTTCGTGGCTGAGTTGCTGTCGTTCCCAAACACTTCCATTTTCTTATAATACAGCTGACAGTTGACTGTGGAATATTTAGGAGCGAGGAAATTTCACGACTGGATTTGTTGCACAGGTGGCATCCTATCACAGTTCCACGCTGGAATTCACTGAGCTCCTGAGAGCGACCCATTCTTTCACAAATGTTTGTAAAAACAGTCTGCATGCCTAGGTGCTTGAATTTATACACCTGTGGCCATGGAAGTGATTGGAACACCTGATTCCAATAATTTGGATGGGTGAGCAAATACTTTTGGCAATATAGTGTATATTTGCTTTAATTGAAATTAGTTCTTTATAGATGCCATTTCCAACTGTTGGCTTTATTGCACATATCCTGCTCTGTAATTGATTTGGCTGTGTGCCTAAAATGATTGCTTAATTGAAATAACCTTTTTAGTCAAACCTTTATCTTCCTGTCTGATGTATTGAGACATCCCGTTTCCACATATTATAATTTTCTCTCGATGCCATCTGTTTTGAGCATGCGCCTCTTCCTCCTGCAGCCAAATACCACCTCTTTCGTCTTCAGCCTCAACCAGGCTTGCATTAGGGCTCATAGAACAGCAAATAGCCCAACCAATGTTACACACCCTATTCAGAGAGCTTAAAGGAATAGTACACCCAAAACATGATTAGCCTTCATTTTCTACTCACCCCCATGCTGAACAACACTCTGGAGTACTTTTTTGATATCTCAAATGCATCTGGAGATCTGGGAGGCTTCTTGCTGTCTCCTCACATTCAAATAATGGAGGTCCATGGCGCCCGATGCAGAAAGGTCCATAAAAGTCCACAAAAAACGTGTCAATATTCCTCCATACTGCTCGTCCAATGTATTCACGAGTCTACGGAAACTGCGGCAGACCAAACCAGATGAAAGTGCGCATTCAGCGTCTGCTCTGCCGATAATGCAAGCGTAGAAGAAGAAATGTGCTGATTACCTGTGCAAAGAAAGAAACAACGAAAGAAAAATGTCTGAGGACTTCAGTGTTGAGGAAGAGCATGAGTTCTTTGCCGAGCTGAATGCGCACTTTCATCTGGTTTGGTCTCCTGCGGTTTCCGTAGCGTCGTGAACGCGCTTTTAGGAAATCCTATACACTACTGTTTATGCTCTAAAAACATTCTAAATGACTTCGTTTTGAGTAAATTATGGACGCTACCCACTCAGGACACTAGGAATACATTGGACGAGCAGTATGGAGGAATATTGACACGTTTTTTGAGGACTTTTATGGACCTTTCTGCCTTGGGCACCATAGACCTCCATTATTTGAATGTCAGCAGACAGC